CCAAGCATACCCATGGACTATTCTCCTTAAGAAAAGTTACTGTGACATGCTGTCTTGTTACAGCTCATCAATCCTCACGATTTAGATTTCACCTCTACAAATATAACAAAAAAGGCCTATCACATTTATTACATTTTTATGCAAGGTAAACCAAAAAATCCCTGAGCACTCTAAATGGATTTCAACTTCAGAGAAGAAACTACAGTTCCTTTTCTGGTTGGGGCAAGCAGTGATGCTGCTCCGGGACGGGGGATTTCCAAGAAGTGCTGCAGCACCTTTACAGACCTGGAGCGCTCTCGGGGAAGGCACTGCTGAGGCACCACACGTTGGGTGGGTTTGCCCGCACGGAGAATAAAAGCGACTTTCACGCTGAGGCATCGTCGGTACCCGGGAGCCGCACGGCACAAGTTGTGCGGGGCGCGGGGGCCCTGCGAGCGGCGGTGCGGGGGGCTGCGGAGCGGGAGGTGCCCCAGAGCCCCCTCGCCCCTCGGCCCCTCCCCTGAGGGTACGCCGCTCCGGCCGCGACCCTCAGCCCCGCGACCTCAGCCGCCCGGCCCGGCGGACCCCGCGCAGGGTCCGAGCGCCCCCGGCCCCCACCGCGACAAACTTTGTCCCGCGCGAGCGGCTGCCCGGCACCGCCGGCGCGGGGGGCCCGCCGGGCCGCCCTGCCCGGGCCCGGGGGCGCGGGAACCGCGGCGGGCACGCCGCGCCGGGACACGCACCGACCCGCCGCCCGCACCGGAGCACGGCACGGCCCCCGCTTCCCGGGCACGGCACGACCCGCTTCCCCCGGCACGGCACTGCCCGCACCGGAGCACGGCACGGCCCCGCTGCTCGGGCAGAGCGCAGACCCGCTTCCGGGCACGGCACGGCCCCGCCCGGAGCACGCCCGCACCGGGCTCCCCTCACGCCGCCGGGGCTCCCCCCGCACGTACCTGCTCTGCCGCGCCACCGGCGTCCTGCGCGCGCCCCACCGGGGACGGGAGGACCCGCGCGCGCGCCCGCCGCGCCCGTTCCCTTGGCGACGCTGGGCCGGCGCGCGGCGCGGGTCGCTCCGCGGAGAGCGCGGGTGTGGGGGGGCGCGCGCGCGTCCCGCGCGCGGCGCGGGCCAATCGGCGGCGGCGGCGGCGCGCGCTGGATACTACGGCGCGGCCCCGCCCCGCCGCGACCCCGCGCGGGCCGGAGCGGCGACACAGCGCGACAGACCGCGGGACAGACGCGGACACACGCGGGACACACCGCACACCGCGGGACACACCGCCGGACACAGCGGGACCCGCATCGCCGCCCCGCGCGGCGCCGCCGGGGCCGGGATTGCATAACGGCGCCGGAGCGAGCAGCTGCGGGATTGCACCCTGCGGATTAGGGATTACGTTGATTCAGCAGATTGCCCCGTGCATGTCTGAGAAAGATTACAGCAGCAGAGTTAAGAATACCCCTGTGCTGCGGTAAGCCGTGGTTTAAGTAGAGCAAATTAACTCAATACAAAATTAAATGCACCAAAAAAAAAAAAAAAAAGAGAGAGAGAGAGAAAAAAAAAAGGAGGTAAACCAACCCAAGGTTATGAATGTGCTTTAAATGGACAAAATAAATGGGACTGGAATTCAGGTTTTGAGTTATCCACCCTATGCTGTAATAGCAACCAGCTCTCTGGATAAATCTTAAAAAATCTAAATCAGTATAATGAACACTAGTTACATTTGATTCCTTATGACTACCATGTAAAAGTAAATATCTAAACTCTCACGATAAACATTTTGTATTAACTCAAAATTATTTAAGAGGCACCAGTCAATTTGATTCTGTCACCATGTGCTAAACTGTCTTCTTGTACAGAGTTTGTAACAGGGATTTTTAGAGTTCTGATCACTGGATCTGAGGTTACTGACACTGGGGAGCTGACATTGTGGGGTCACTACATCTGCCACTGAGGTATGAGTAAAAATTAACCACGCAGTGAGAACCTTTAAATTGCATTAATTTCAGTCGATTTCTTACAAGAGTTGATGAAACTTGGAACCAAAAGTGCCACAGAAGAAATCATCAAGCACACAGAATGAAAGAATAGTGTTGTGGGGTTTTTTTCCCAAGCTTGGCAGTGATTTTTTTTAATGCGTCTTGCAGAATTTATTAATTCCCCCCACATAAGCACACACAGGCTCGAGACTGGAATCTCTATCTCAAAATTACGAATTTGTAGTTATATTTGACAGAAGCTCAACTTTGTAGCTTTGCCAATGTCTGTATGAATATCTCATACAGTAGAACTGGGGTTTCTGATGGAAATCTGCAGTTGGTTGCAAACTGCTTGGGAAATTTTAGGAATGGAAAGTGTCCCCTTAAAGTCACTGTAACGTCTCAAATTGCAATTTCAACACCATGACAAGAGTTTTAGGCTGCTGTTGTAGTACATAATTAATCCTAGGCGTACTTCAGTGGATAAAATCAAAACCTAAACCTAAATTTTTGCTGTAGGCATTTCTAAGACAAGAGGACTCAGTAATTTGTTGTCATCTCAGAAAACTGTAATGGAAAGAATTTTAAGCAACTGTAGTCAAAAAAATTAACCTGTAAGATGAAGCACACTGAGATTTTGTGAGCTATTTATGACCTGCCTTTGCTTCTGCCTTTTGTTAGAAATCCCTCACGTTGTGGCTGTCCCATCCTAAAAGAAACTTTCAGGGTGTAAATTTGAGTAACACATTGTCCTTGTACAGATTTGTTGTAACATCTCACCTTGAATTCTTCCTTAGAGGGATCCTCATTTGTTTCAGGCAGTTCGATGGATTTTTTTTCTGACACCTGATGATTTTCTGTGCTCAGATCAGTTATGAGCTTCAGATGGGGAGGGGATGAGAAGTTATACCTAGATGAGAAAAAACAGACTCCTTTTAACAAGACTTCAGGACAGGTCCTGGCTCTTGGAGGAAATAAGAGGTGTAGGTTACTAACTGCTTGACAGATACCAAGGACATATCTCAGAAGGAAAGTTATATTTAATTAGCTCACTAAGCAATTTTTGAAACCTTTTCTGTTCACCGTTTTCACAACACAAATATTTGAGCTCAATATTGGGGCAGAATGAGATTTTACTTTTTTTTTTTATTTTTAAAAAGAATACATAATGCAGTAAAATCTCATACTTTATGATGGCTGTAAGATGCAAAACTTAATCTAAATGTGTATTTGAAATAGCCACATGACCAAAATGATCTTTAATTTGTGGGAGTGTTTACATAGAGATTAATTCTAAGAATGTTTGAATAACAAAGAACCATAAAACAAAGCCCAAATCACTATTCAGGGCTTGCTTTTTCTCTGCCTGTGCTCACTAAGACTTACAGTTACATTCTTTGAGGGGATACAGCATCTCATGGATGCTTGGGCCAGCTAACCAGTGAAAGTACCCAAACTCAAGAGGCAAAGCAGATTCTGATTTAAATATGTGGGGAGTAAAGCACACAGGTTCGTTTAAAGACAAACCCAGCGAGTTCAAAACATTTGTTCCAATATATCTCAGTATGCACAGGTGACTTAAATGTCTAAACTGTAACATTTCCAACAACATACAGCTGTTGTTAGTGCCAGTTCAGATGGCAAAGATGAGGGGGAAAGGATAGAACTGATCTGAAGCTTTTTTTCAACGAGCTGGCACAGAGCAAAATAGGCTGTATTTTAAATTTCAGGTTAAAATGCTCCAACTGGATACACAGAGTAACTTTTCAGGAGCTCCCAAGATGCATGCAAGATACACAATCATACAATTGGATCTGTGGTTTCTGTGAGCATGGGCTACATCTGCCTCTTAAGAGGAGACAGTTTGGAAAGTGGAAGGTAGAAGCACAAATGATCTTTGTGTTTCTAGTATGAACTCAGTGCACAGATAGGTTTAGGCAAGTTGGAATAGAGTTTAGCAACAATTTCTGTGGTAGTATTTCCTTTTCTTTAAATATATCATCCCATTTCTAATGAGATAGGGACTCCAATCTGTTCTTTTTAGGACACTTATACATACTCGAACCTCTTTTCAGAGTGCAGCACCCCAGAGAAAAACTCATAAATACATGACTACCTAATGATTTATTTCCTCTTCAGTCTTAAAAAAGAGAAAATAGAGAACTAGTGGTCCCATGGCCTTCCTCAGGCTGCCTTGTTGTCTGCAGTCAGCCTATAAACCATGTGTAGTACCCGTCACAATGAGAACTAGTCCAAACAGTGATGAGTGGCACAGCACACCCCTTTAACACACTGATGCAGCAGAAAACCTCAGCTTCCCCATGGGATTTTCTGCCAGATCACTGGATTTAAGCATCTCCTGAAAAAGTTCAGCTTACCCCCGGAGCAGCAGCAGAGACAGTGAGGTGCATACTGATAGTAAGATGAAGGAAAGGAGATGAGAGATCTCCTTTTTGCAGTAGCAAAACTAAAGTTATTCTGTCAATTCAAGGACTCCTATCCTAATTAAATCTGGTACAGGAGCTAGTCTGAAATTTAGGTGATATATCCTGTTTATATTTTCTGTTATGAGAGCTATTGGATATTTACTGTTTTGTGGAACTTCCTGTGAAAAGGGAGACTAAATTAACAAGGACTGCTTGCTCCAATTAGATACAAATTTAAATCAGATTTTTGACTGCTGTGTAAAATATATTTATGATGCAATTTGTGTGAGTTAGACTATGTGAATATTTTGAATTCAGCAATAAACTGTAGTGCTGGTAACCCTAGAAAAACATGCAAGTGATTCTGTGAGCATAATGGGGTGTTCCCCTATTCTGTGCTTTGCCTCTGCAAGTATGTTTGTCTTTGCTGTAACCTCACCCACATTGCACTGTATGTAAATGTGAAGCCTTTTTCACAGCACATAAAATCCAGATCTGGAGGAGAAACCTATCTGCAGGATGATTTATTTCTTTTAAAGCCAGGATTTTAGTTCTGAAGCGACTCCTGTTCATCTGTCTCTTTGTGCAATGTTAATTGTTCTCGTTGTGCACACAAAGGTTGTGTATCTGAGGCAGCTCAAGAGGACGCCTTTGGGTGGGGACCTTGCTGTTACAGCCCAGTGTGACAGGCAACTGCCATTTCAGATTCTCCTGTATGGGCAGGACACTTGAAAACTAGAGAAGCCACCTGAGGTCCCATGAAAACCAGAACTGTCTGCTCATAAAGTAAGTACAAATGCATTATACCTTCTGAAATGGGCCTCTGCAGAAAGTTGGTTTTCTGTTACTGAAAGCTGAAGGATAGGCAATTATTCCTCTAAAGCTGAGACTTTATTTTATTTGATCATTTAATGGGAAAAAGATTCTTCCTTCCAATATAGAGCAGTTTGCTTAAATAATTGCTTTACGTACACTTTAAAGTATAATTAAGAAAAAAGAGCAAACATGAAAAAATAGGATGATCTATTGCATTAGGCTTAAACATAACCTATTTGATACAGTAAACCTTGACTATACCTAACAGGAAAACAGAATATAGCAAGGCTAGCTGGTTATAGAGTTGGCATATCTACAGAATAAGTTTCTTTTAGCATTGTCAAGTGAAGATTGGTTTCTGTCCAGGCAGAGTGTTTCTATTCCAGATTTTAAAGATCATTGTACAAGCCTTGACCTTGCTGAGTTCTGATAAATTCACAGCCTGTATTACTAATTCCACCTGACATCCAGACATGAGAAACACTCAACTGGAACACACAGACTCTCAGTGAGAAATGACAAATTGGGAAGTTCTTGTTTGTGGAATACAAGAATTCTACCACCAAGACCTTACCTGACTGAATAATCAGCAGTCTGAGGACTGGGGCAGTTGTGTGCACTGTCTTTCAAGGTGCAAACACCAATCTAATGAGCTGGCCAGACACAATCAATTAGATTGCCTAAATGCACAGGTATGGCAATTCTGAATAAGCATGGCAGTTTGAAAAAAGCATTCATTGTTTCAATATGCTTTAGTGTGAATTTGGTTTTACTCTGCCTTTAGGGATTCACTGAACTGGATAGCAGACCTGAATGTTTGCCATTAACTGTGAATTGATGGAGCTCACATCTGACAGAACCTCACTGTCACAGTGCAGCAGACTCTTAGCAGCAACACTAGGTTGCATTCCAATAGCTGTCTCTTCAGGGGAAAAAGTCATCAGCTTTAAAAATGACATGCTCAACTTCCATGTTTGTCTTCAGGTGCTGTTTTAGAAGAGTAGCCTCTGACCAAGAATAAAGATTGTTGTCGGAATAATATGCGAACAGGTAATTTCTTCCAAGTCTTTACCTGGATACACATACATGTATAATTAGAATTCATTAATATTGCCTTGAATTTGGGAGCTGCCCCTGGGATTGTCACAACTGCTCTGTAGAGCTGCCATCCCTTACTAGAGTTCACCTGCTGATGGTACAAATTCTGTAAGGGCATGTTTGCTTTGATCAGTCCTAACGTTTCACACTTTGTGACTGATTAGCATACAGTCCAAAGTTGCTTGTAAGTGAGGAAGCATCAGCCCCCTTTTATCTTCTGTCAACGTTTCCCACTCCTCCCCCTTTCCTTTTTTGTGTTAGCAGACTTCAGGATTAGACAGTCTAGTATTTTAGCCTCTGGACTAGGCAAGACAGCTGAGTCAACAAGTGGATTATCAAGGCTGGCTTGGCTCTTGGAGAGTTAAGGTGGTGTTGAGCCTGAATTTGTTTTTTTAATAGCTAGGACAGTCAGGTTACAACAGTTTAAATGCAAACAGACGAGATAGTTTAGGGACACAGCACTGTACCAGCTACCAGGAAGAAAATTAACTCTGTCCCAGCTGAAACCAGGACATGTGCATGTCCTCAAAAAGAATAATTAAAAATAAGTGTATTTAGAGCCTGCTATTACCCCAGCCAGTTTTAAGTATTGATAGTCTAGCATTAAGAAAGAACAACCTTGTTTTATTCCTCTTTGCTTCTCCTTCCACCAAATTCAACTTTTTTTAAAAATAACTTTGTGTCCTGTTTCTCTTTAATCTCTCACATAGGATGTATCAAAATACATACATATATATTATGTACAACATACAGAGAGCTCTGTTAATTTAAAAGCTAAATCTTTTGTATTTTTTTAATCTCCAATCATCACTTGACTTGTTAAACTTTTCTATCTTGATTATGGAGTCTGAATGTAATATACATTTGACTTTCAAAGCACACAATTTGCATTTTTAGATTAATATAATGTATTGACCTACCTCATGAAAAATCATAACACATTCACCAATGCTAATGTAATTGGGTTTTGGCTTGTACTGAACCCCTTCTGATTCTCCAGTATACTCTTTTGCATCATTGACTATAAATTTAGAGGGATAAACTGGTGCTTTCACACCTTCCTATCTATAAATACAGAACTGTGGCTCTGAAATTTGCTGCAAGCTACTCTATTTCAGTACAGTAGGTATGAAGTACAATAATATCTATTTTTGTGTTACAATTTTCTAGTAATGATGTTTTATAGTGTTGAGCATCCTGAATTTTCTTTTATTGCCTTTTATAATTCTGACACCTACTTTATACTGTTTTACTCTGATAATTTCACTAAGTAGTAGCAAAGTATTGATAAACAAAATAGAACTAATGAAAAGCACAATAGGATGGAAAGAGGGGCACCTGATCTAGATGGACATAGAGGTTTCTTTGAGTTTCTCATCACTGGTAAAATTAAGGTTACCATTTTTCCCTCAGGACTGGAAAAAGTCTATCTCTGGAAGGAAATAGCCTATAGAAAAATTGTCTGTAATTACAATCAAAAAGGTTTCAAAGGCTCCCTGGGCACTTTTTGTTCTCTCTCTCTGCCTCTCTCACATTCTCTAATAGGCCTAAGACAGAGTGCCTGAGGTATTTTGCCAGAACAGAAATGCCTGGTTCTGCTGCAGAGCTGGTCCTTAGTACAGAGATCACACCTGAACAGGGATCATCCTCCCAGATGTCCCGAGGCCTGGGTGACTGGAGGCACTGAGGTTTCCTCAGGACTCTGCCACTGTGCCAGTGTGAGACAGGTCCATTTCTGCCTAAAGATGAAGAAAAGAAATAGAACCTTAAGGCAGGATTTTAAGGAGGTTAACAAATTCTCATTAATTCTCACGAGAACTTCTTTGCAACCTTTCCATGAGCTGTGTAAAAGAATTTTTTTGGGGGGCCCACCTTCTATCATCTTGCTTTTCCATCTGGTAGAATTTCAACAGTTAACTCCCTCAGACACTTGATAGAGTTGAGAGCACGTTGAGAGTTTTGTTTTTCTCAGCTGTTTCTTATAATTGTGTGGATATCCTGATACACTGTTCATGTGTTCAGTACCCTCTCTTCATTTGACAGAGGATTCAATTGAATGACACTCTCACAGAAGGCCCACTGTTAGGTTTGAATAGACTAAAATCAAATAATTTGTAGTTCTTGTTTAAAAACCTCCTTGTTTTTCTTCTGTGCCCATTTTATTCCTATTGCAATTGTACTTCTATTAGTCTTCTAATAGTGAACTTGCAAGAAATGAATTGCCAGTAGAAGAGCACAGAAAGCTTCGGAGTTAAAATAAATTTCCATTTAACTTCCTACCAGGTAGGGCAGAACACACATTTCTGTGCAACAAGGTCAAACATGAACAATCTTTCCAGCCTTTCTTCTCCCTCCTCCAGCTCCCTCATTTATCTGCACACAGGCAAAAAGGTCCAGTTCCCATTTGGATGCACTTGGATAAGAGGAACATGGCACTGAATTCCTGTTGGGCGCTGGGGTTTAACTTCACCTTAAAATAACAGAAGGACTTGACTCACACTCCTACACCAGTATGCCATCACAGAAATGGAAGAATATGTGGAAAAAAAGGGAGAATGGAATTGCTGGAGATTGTCTAGAGGATAGCAGGATGCACAATGGTTTTGTTGCAGAGTTAGAAGTAGCTAAGCCTCTCTGCTACTCTTAGAAAAGTCAGTTTTATTTTACATACAGAGCTGTAGAAACTCCCTCTATGGTAGGATTTCTTATGGCCACACTTCTCACTTTTTTCTGCAGGAATAAAGGGAAACCCTAACTCTTTTTCCTGAAGGACAAATAAGAAAACTAAAATCTTGATTACTCTTACACTGTATTTTGTATAGAACATGTCTTCTATACATAAATAGTGAGACAGCAGAGTTCTTATTTTCAGAGCTTCTGGGAGAAATAACAGCAAGAACACTTAAAGTGTGAGGTAACACATGATTCTCACCCTTGTGATGTCAGAAGACTGCTCTATTTTTGTTTTGATTGAGATACTGTGGTTTCATAAGATGGAAGAAATATATAAAAATATATATATGCATATATATATAAAATGAATTACTGATGCATTAAATGTGTCATAAATATATGCAGTCCAGCTTCCAAATTTAGACTGCTTTCAGAAAGAGTGAAGTGGTACAGTTAAATATGCTTTTTAAGCATAAAATGGTCAACTGCTGCTACGAGTGCCAACATTAGTGTCCTGTATGGGAGTGTTATTAGAATTCCTAATTATGTTTAACACACTAGCAATTCATCCAAGAAGCCTATTGAGTCAGGAAAAAGCCTTTCTGAGGTCTGTGGAAATTACACTGTACCACATAAGTGACCCTTGGCAGGCTGTCTCCTCCTCTGCTCATTAAGAACTGGGGTGGGAAAACCTGACGGTGCCCAAGTGGGCTGTGATTCAGCTCTTAACACAGCCCTGAGCAGTCTCAGAATGTGCTGGCCCACACCTGTGACTATTCTGGGTGCATCTGTACTGGCTGAGCCTCTCACAGAAGGTAGTTAAGCTAAAGATAGTTTGTGCCAGTGGAACAGGACAAACCAGACTCCCCACAGGTCATCGTGTGGTCACTGTGCTCGGCACGGCGAAGGAAGGAACGCAGAGTTCAGAAGTTCCTCTCAGTGCCAGAGAAAGTTTGATTTATTTATCTAATTTAGGTGTTTCACACCTAAATTAGTGATCTTTTCCACATATTGTTACATGAAACAGTTGTGCAAGACAGTGCTGTGTGCTGCTGGCCTGGAGGGCAAGGCCGACACCTGTTCTGTTCATAGGGTGGTTTTGTTTGTGTGAGGGTTTGTTTTGGTGTTTTTCTGGTTTTGAAGTCTCTATTTTTCTCAGTGTTTTTTTGGTCTTATTTTTAAGATCATGAAGAACTCTGTGGCACCAGTTATGGATCTTTTTGTCTAAATGGAGGGATTTGTTATATGATTCCTACTGTATCCAGTCCATTCTGCAGGTCAGTGAAACTGAAGTTTGTGTGTCTAAGTATTGGACAGTAGCTGTCTAAAGACTGTGTCTCCATTTTGTTTCTTTAGGAAATCACTGTTAAAATGTTATCTAAAAGAAAATATCTATTACCTATTACTTTCCAAGCTTGTAGAGCCGTGACAATATGAGACAAATAATTGTGTATACTTGGTTTATACTTGCTTGGCAGGTGCAACAGCACTCAGTTACGTATGCATTCAGGATGATGTCTATATTTAGAGCCACGTCTCTTCCCTCATTACAATACAGAAAGAACGAAATACCCTTTGCCTCATAGAATATAGACTGTAGGAAAGGCATTCAGAAAGGCAAAGCACATTCCCAGTCTTTCTTACAGAGGAATGATATTACAAATATTTTTGTAACATAAAATGGCCTACCGTGAACAAAACAAGGAGGCACAAAAAATAATATGATCTTTTTAGGGGGAAAAAACCCCAAAACACTGTAATTCAAGACTTACTGTGTTCTCTGAATCTTGCTGAAATACTCAGCTTTCCAGTGACAGCCAAAGACTACCTGAAAAAGAAACATGAAGGCAGCAAATACAGATACTTCCTACATCATTCCACAGCAGAACCCTTCTTCTCTCTGAAGCCCATTTAGCACATTGGAAAAGTAGCAGTTCCTGGTTTTGCATGTGGATACATTTCCTGCATGAACACAGCCCTATCTTTTTATTTTCTCATTTACCAAGACATAAGATGCTAAATGAAATTCTCATTTTTCATGGTTCATTTACTAATTCTGAGTTATCATTCATCAAAATAAATTATGATTGATTTAACGGGTTTGCTTAACAAAATAATAGGCATTCAGACAAATATTACATACACTTAAGGATATTACCTTTTTTGCTTCTATGGCAACTTCTGCTCCCTCTTCCATCTTGAGCTATAACTAATGATAACTGGATAAAACAGTTGAAGAAGGGAAAAAAATCTGTTCCCAGATGCCTAATTAAAATATCTCTTTGTTTTGTTTGGGACAGTTCAATTTAAACACTTAAGCTCAAGCATGTAAACTCATTTAGTTAGGTGAGGAGAAAAGAGACAGTTTTGTGATAAATGCTCATTGAAAAATATACACAGCAGATCACTGTCATTGTCCAGTGTCACAATGAATCACATCCAGAAGGGAGACTAGAGCTCCAAAGTGCTGGATGATGGTGATTTATTCTCTGCTAAACCTTGCAAGCTTGTGTGATAGAAAATGAATACCACATACACAAAAAGTGAAACATTTTGAAATACATGCTGGTTTTTTCTTTCTAGAAGGAGTCCCATATTACTGATATTAAAATACCTAAATGAAAAATGAATGGTTAAACTAAACAGCATCAGTTACACAATTTCAAAGCCCCTTCTCAACTATTGCTAGACTGCGTAACAAGGAAGATGTATTTGATGCAATAACTATAAATATGAAGTAACAAATCCCCAGAACAATTCATCCTTCAGGAGCACAAACTAGTCAGCATAGATAATTTCCATTTTAACAGCTCCAAATGAAGTCATTTGCAGTTCAGGTGCTATAGGATTTTATGATCTGCTGAAGCAGAAAAGTAACATCTTAAGAGCATTTCTGTTATACTCAGGCAATCTTACTGCATTTAAATTATCAACTATTTTTTTTCCTGTATCTAGCGATTGATTATGAAGTTAGATGGTTTAAATAGCAGCATTCTATTTAAGCATGTCCTCATTCTAAGCATGTTCCTTAATCAGTCAGAGAAGGCTAATTATAGATGAGAAAGGTTTTGTTTACACACAGATATCTTAGTAATCAGCAGTGATGTGAATAGAAACAACAGAAAAAAATGCATCACGATTCAGCAGAATTCAGGAAATATTTGGTGCTTTGGAACTTCAAGACTGGCACCATCACATGGTTGCACAAAGTTTCTTTGATGGAGGTTTCTGCCAAATCCCACCCAAAGCTCCCAAGTGTTCTCAAAAAAACTCAAATCACTTTTATACTCAAAGGCTGGATGACTGATAGTTAAAAGGGGGAGATGGAGAAAGAACAGCCTAGCAAACTGTAAAAATACCTTGAAACACATTTGCCTTGACGTGCTACTTAGTTACACCAATGTGTTGTGCTAAACATAGTCCAGATTACCAATGCAACGTCACTGGAAGTAATTTCACCACAAAGCTAAGGAAAATGCATCAGTCTTTAGAAATATGTGGGTTTATGCATGCTAACAAATTAAGAGCCACCGTTTACCTTTGGAATTTAAGTTATTTTAATCATTCAGAAATGGACATAGACAAGGTAGAGATTTAATAGAAACAAGCATTAATTGACCTCCCCCTTTCTGTGCAACATTAGCAGATTTTAAATACAGCTGCTGTGTGCTGAAACATGAAGTTGCTCAGCTGCCACCTTCCCTCACTGCTTTCCTAACAATGAGTTAATGTTCTCAGCAGCAAAAGGCACACCTGGCACCATAAACCAGATGAGCTTCAAACCCAGGAACACTTAAATGTACTAAATAAACAGGCAGCAGGACAGAGAAGGATGGAAAAGCAGCTGCCTCAGGTGTCTCAGGAACCACAAGGCTGAAAGCATTTGCCTCAGCACCTGATGGCAGCTGTCCCAGAAGCATTAATTAATGCAGGGCAGAACAAGGTGAAGATTTTGGTTTCTGAGGGGGAGCTCTGGTACTTCCATCTTTTTTCTTACACTTGGCAGATTTCTGAGAGCATTCTTCTGTGTTTCAAACAAAATACAGATGGCATAAGACCACACAAACATAGCTCCTCTGCTTCGGAGGGCAGTACACACAAAATCAACAGTGAATGCTCTCCTTATGTCTTTGAAAACTATTAGCAATCAGAACTACAGCTGGAGATATGGCAAATCTTGCCACATAAACACATAGTTAAGGGAGTTCTATGGAAAAATAATCAATTCTTTCAACTTCTCTCCACTAGGAGCATTTTTTTTTACTCTCTTTGTATATGAAGTCATCTTCAGAGTAACAGTTTTGAAACTCCCTTAAATGCAAAAATGTTTAAAAACCTGCTTAGGGGTTCTAGTTAACTTTGCTATTGTTTATTCACTTTGGCTTGAAAATCTTTTTCATACTTACTAGATGTCCTTACAGTGTATGGATTAAGACAACTTTTAGGAGCCTGCTACAGACTGAAGATTATGGTGATTTTGAAGCTCTCAGCCATGTAATCTGAGTTACATTGACAAGCAGATAATTTTTCAGCTTTTTCTGCTTAGACCTTTGTATTTCCTTGCAAGTAATTTTGATACCAAGAAGCACCCAGGATTTTTCTGACTAAAGGAAGACTAAACGAAAACTAAAGTCAACACCCTTACAGTGTAATGCAGTGCAATGAGAATCCAGGTGCATATTTGACTCAAACTCTACTTCCATTTTTAAAGTCTGTCAGATACTTCCTTATGTTGCCCACCTGGGAGTCTGGCAGAGAAAGAAACCTCTCCTTGTTACTATATCCCACAGGCAGAGGACCCCTTGCACAGCCCCATAAAAGAGACAGCAGTAGTGCCTCCTGTTATTGCAAGACCTTCATGCTTCTGTTTTAGTTACTAATCAGATTTTAGGGGAGCAATAGAATTGCAGACCCACCCAATGCAGTCTATTTACTTCCACTTTGTACTGATGCTGACACGGGTGGCTTGGATTAATATCCTATGCTGAAAGACTCTCTGGATTTCTTTACCTCTGCTAGTGTTTTGTCTGTAGCACAGCTCCTGTAGTATGTTTGTATACAACAGTTTCAGGCTGGCTCATCTCGTCTGACAGGAGGCGTGGGTGTGTGTGCATGTGTGTGCAGGCACCTAGGAGAGCACAAATCTGGATGCTTTCTGAAAATGGGAGGTTTCAGTCACAGATTTCCCTCAGACATCGAAGGCTGCTGTATTTCCACTCTGATTGAATTAGAAATTCTAATTTTTTAGAGGGGGGAAAAGACCTCTTTTCCATTTTAAAAATCAAGTTTGGGATGCTACATAGTAGGACCATTTAGGCAACACAGAGCAGGTGCTGAGGCAGCAGGCTCACAGCATGGAGGTGATGTTCTGCAGCAGCTACACCTCGCCTAGGGAGCACAAGACTTAATGAGTCTTATGCTCTTAGTCCAGCCTAGAACCAGGCTGCTCTGGTTTTGCCCCAGTTTATTCAAGTGCAGATGCACCAGTGCCTGCCCTATTAACAGCTGCTCCTAACCTGGGCTCTACTTTTAGGCATCTGTTATAAACAAGATAAACTAGGAGTTTATCTTAAAAGCTGCTGGCTTTTAAGGCTGTGTTAGGAAGCCTGACTACCTCTAGAAGGCATGAGATAGATACCATGGATTATGTTCATGGCCCACATGCTTGACAGACACTGTGTTTTTGACTTGCTTGCAGTCATTGCATAAGTAACTCCACTGAAATTATTAGAGCTCTGCTACAGGATAAGCAGATCTTTTGAGTGAGTTCCACTGCTAATTATAGAAGTCTGCTTAGTTTCTCACCAATTTTAAGAAAGGACTTGCAGAAGAAACCTTTCCTAGTTGTCTTAAAGCACCAGTTGCCTTCACCTCTGTGTACATCAGGACAGGTAACTTCATAAAAGCTTGTGAAAGCCAATATTTGAACATTTGGATTTTCAGAAATGCCCTGGCTGTAGCACAGTTTGTTGCTAAGGCACATTAGCTATAATTTTGTTTATTTATATGTAACCCAGAGGTACCTCATCGCAATTTTCCTGTTTCTATGAAAACCTACATAATTTTTGGGTTTTATGGCAGCATTTTTTACATAGCTTGGAATCACTTTGAGCAAGTGTGTCAACAGCTCAGCCTAGTTTGTAATCCCTAATCCACTTCACACAGTTAAACAGATACTATCAAACTAGCCAGTCATGAAAAACATGTTTCTCCAACTTGTTTTTGTTACATCCATGCAGAAGAGGTTCAGCATTCAGGGTGTTTAAGTTTTGCATGTGCTTTTTTTAGTGCAGGGATTTTTCCCGTTGCTCTAACCCTGCATTCATATTGCTGTAGTTTTCCCCTCAGAGTCTTAGGCCTTCAAGCTCCTTTCCCTCCTAAAGGCTTGTGACTACCTCAAGCATCTGGTTGTGTTTTCTATTTAGTAGGAAGTGCTACAATCTCGGTGAGCTTTTTTCTAGGCTGTCATCACATTCCCAATTTTTTTTCCTGTGGTCTTTTGCAGCACATGAATACAACTTCTATGCACTGATATGTCACCTCTACTTCTCACAACAGTTCACTAACCCTCACCTTTTACCTGATCCTGTGTGCAACTCTCTGCAGCAGGACTGTCTTTTCTTCCTCCTGCTTCATTTGACTCTTTAGGTTACTGACTTACTTCCTTTACACTCATTCTTTAGAACTTTTCCATGAGCCTTAATTTGATGCCAAAACCTATTTATTTTTTTTCCTTCCTGTATCATTTTAGCCTTGCATTATTCTCCAGTTTCCATTGGTATTCAAGAATACTTCTATGAATTTCATATTCCATTTTCTATCCCTGTGACTCTATTCAGCTCTCCAAAGCATTTCTCTCTCACTTGCTAGAGAACAATGCCCCACTCAAACTACACTTCTATCCTTAAAGTATTCTACAGTATTTCAGAAATAGGCCACTGAAAAGCCACTACACTTAGAGTAAATATCTGGAACATTATCTCAGGCAATCAGAGCAGTCTGCCTGCCCTTGCTTCTCCCAGCAGTGACACATCATAACTTTGAAAAGTCTCCCATTGTCCTTGGCAGTTCGATCAGCTGCACAGCTTTAATATATGATGATAATTAAACAGATTTTTTTTTTTAGTGTCTAAATCTTCCATTATATTTCCAAAGACAAAGAATTAAAAGAAAGGGTAGTAATTCTTTGTGGCTGAGACCAGCAGTACTGAAATACTGTCCATAACATACAGAAAGTGGAGTCACATCGAGCCTCCACGTTGGAAAGCTCACAGGGATCCTTTTGTCTTAGTTCCATGTCCCAGACATTTCTCCTTTTTGGCAGTTCCTCCCCACTCCCCCTTCTTATCCCTCATCTGAAATTATACCTTGCAGCTGCCAATGGCAGTGGAGAACTTCAAGTGTGCTACAGAGTTCAGCCCATTTCTCTCAGCTGGAGCCTCAAATTGCTTATGTCACAGATTATTATGACTTCAGTGCCAGAAATAGCAAGAAGGAGCAAGATCTTTAGTAATACAAATAGAGGGAAGCAAATTTACATATATCAAAAATACATGCAGAGTGTAGATACTGAAAGAAGTGCTTTCCATTTTCTGTACTGCAAAAGAAAACTTAGCAGAGTAAGTGCAAAATACAAGACAAATGAAGATTAGTTTAGCTTCAACCTATCTATTTTTGACCGAATGTGAATTACTAAGCCATTACTTCTATTTATTTTTAATAAAATATACCATTTTACCGTGGTAAAATGCCATATCCATTTTAATCCTTTCTTCAGAAGAAGTTTTCAGAGGCTCAATACATAAAATAAGCATAGTAGAGAAGACTTACCTAGGTCTCTCCAGGAGGGGGTTATTCACCGAGCACGTAACATGTTCTGGCATGAATTATTACACTGCATAAACTACTTCTGCAATTTAAGGTGTACCGTGTCTCAATGAATTCCCATTTCCTGGATCTATTTATCTGACAGCTCTTCAACAAAGGAAGCTAAAAGTTACATGAAAGGGAGAAAAGAAAGCATGGCTACCGTGTGAGAACCAGTGGGATGACACGGTTAACACTAAAGAGGTAGATTTAATTAATTAAATCTGTCAGTAATGAATATATTAAATTTAATATATGAAAGCAGTATGGATCAGAATGTAAACCTGATGCCCAATGTGCCCAATTCCCTTTGTTCCAAAAATACAAGGTGAGAGGAAATTCCCTAAGAAGAGTTGCTGCCCAGCAAATACAAACTCTGAATTATGTCATAACAGTTCTCTCCCCACCTAAGAGCAAAAGAAGCCTTTGACAAGTTACCATCTAATCCTAATACCACTTGGTTTCCCAGGTGTATTGAGCATTACACAGGAGCCCGTTGTGAGGAAGTTTTGCTGCCCAGCATCAAGTCCCAAACAAAAGGTGACCTGTTTGCAGCTTTCTTGGCTTCACTTCTTCTTCTAGGAGTTCTTGTAATTGGAGCATTCTACTTCCTTTGCAGGTAAAAGTGCTTCATAAGGCTGAAGCTGTTTAATCAAGTAGAAATTTCTTCTGGTAATCATGTACTAATTATCTGAATGTAAAAGCATGTAATGAATTATCCATAAGGTTGTATGGTTATTCAACATAATGAATGTGGGTGTCTCAACTTGTTGCTTGTAATATTTCACTCCCTGGCTTAAAGTTTTCTCAGTGTCTTTTCTAAGCTATTACTTATAGTTGCTTTGTAAAAAATACAGGTAGTACACCCATGTTTGAGATCCACAGTCTACCCAGAGTTAGTGCTAACCTTTAAAAACTTTATGTTGTCTGAAGATTGAGAAGTAGAAGCAAATTGATGAAGTACTTAGGGAACAAAAACTGTTCCCACTGAGCTGGCAGCCAAAGCAACTGGTGCCATTAGCTCCTAATTCCTCTACAGCTCCTGGTCTAAAAAGGAAAACTAAGGAAAGAATGAAAGTGAAGAATAATCCCAGGCAGATATTTCCTAACTAACATTTTGAACAAAACAGAGGGCTAACTAATTTGTACAGGATGATCCATGTTAGAGTAGCAGGAACATGTCAGTGCTAGACAGCAAGTGCTGCAGGTTTGGTTTTTGCAGCATTTTAGGCATATCAGGACTTGGGATGAAAACACACAAGCAGTTATTGGGATTAAAGCAGCTATTTGATGCTGTACATGTGTCAGTACACTTAGACCAAACCCAAACAAATTTACTGTTTTCACTTACTCTCTGCATTTATAATGCAAGTCAACCTTCTTTATTTTTAGAATACAGCACTTTTTATAAGAGCTTATTTTGTCACACACCATTAATATGTGTTTATGCCTTTATGAGGCAACTTACATGAGTCCCTGTAATTCTTGGCCACCACAGACTTGCAGCCTCTTCCCCTTTCTCCTGTACTGCATTTCTCCTTGGCTGTGATAACCAAAGGTTCTTGCAATGCTGTTCTTTGCTCTCCCATAATCACATTGCCAAATCAACCTCTCTGATCAGTGCCTTTCAATGAGCGACCTTTGGAATAGCTGGGCTACTTTTACCTCAGCTGCTGTCATGGAAACCCACTGAATGCCAGTTTTTCCCACAGCTGAATGTATTTAGAAGAGATAGAGAGCATTTGATACAACAGTTTGTATAAAAACTCCCTTGTTGTAAAGCATACCCCCCACCTTAGTAATTTTAGTTAAATTACTCCTGCTTAGCCATGGAATGCCACAGCAGTTCTTCACTAAAGAACATTTGAAGATTACCAAAAAGTTATTAGAATACAGCTTTAACTAACTTGAGAAAAATTCATTCAAGTGTCATACAGGCAGTATTTCTTCAGAAATAAAATTGTCTCCAAGAAGAGAGCAATCTGTTAAAAGATCCCTTTCCTCTTGCACACAGCAAAATTAGGGGAAAGCTGGAGACAGAGTCTATTGAGTGTCATGGTCAAAGTACAGAATCTTAGAGTGACAGCAATGACAGGTCTGTGCAAGTTCTTTTATTAGACAGTTGGAAGATGAACCTCACCTACTCTTCACTCAAGCTCTGCCTAACTGGCAGAACAAGTAGTAATGCCTCTTTATTAGAAAAATAACTCAGTCTTAACATAGTTGCCCTTGAACTTATCTTACATACCAGACTAGCTTGAGAAATCTCATATAATCATTATCAACTTCTTTAGTACAGATAAAAGAACCTAACTGGCTCAAAATTATCTTACCTTTACACTTGTGAGGCTGATGTAGGATGATCATCTGCTAGAGAACTCATCTATGCAAGGAACACTTCACATCTGTAAGTCCTTATGTCTTGACTGAAATGACCAACATGTGAGGAGTCTCAAGTGGATACTTTAATCTACTGCTCTCTTTTCAGCTGTGTGAATGAGGATTATTGCCAGCAGCTGTCATTAATCTGCACTTTTTTCCCCTCAAATTTGATCTATCACCTGTATACTATCTTAGAAGAGGGTGGAATTAGGGTTTGTAAGGGTTAGCTGAGAGTTGCATCATCTTTGGCTTGTCCTTGACAGGATATGTTAAGTTTAAAATGTTAAGGAAAGATACTGTTTCCACTGTTATACTTTAATAACAAAGATGTTTGATCCACAATCAGAAAGCAGAGTTTTTTCCCCACTATTGTGTTTTATTAAGCATTTCCATGGCCCTTTCAGCAGAGGGTTCTAGTGGGGCTTTAGTATAAACAGTAATGCAACCTGGAGGGATGCAGAAGAGGAGATACTACTGGAAGTTCAGGACAAGGAAAAGGAATCCCTAAAATTACACATTAAATCTTTTAGAATTTAGGAAATCAGTTTTGCTTTGTTTTCTTGTTTGTATCATCACTTATACCTCCCTTCCTTCCAAGCTGTCTTTCTCTGAGGCTACTTGGGACAGATCTGAGGACCAAGCATATGCAAGTGCATTTAATGCTCCCTAGAAACAAATCCAGTCAGCCATACAAGGGTGGAGAGAAAGGGTTGCAGTGCTCTGCTTATAAAACTAAGTCATAACTAACAGTGAAAGAAACCCATAAAAGAATAGGGCTGCATAGGAAAGCTCTGGGTGAGCAGTGGGAAATAATTCTTTTTACATTTAGCTGAGTCATCACATTTTTATCAGCTGATGATTTATTTTTTTCAGTCTGCAGAGTGCAAATCCAGATGCAGGTGCTCTCCACCTTGAAACAAACACCCCTCCAACAAACAGACTCATAAAGTCTGTCTTTCTGACATGGAAAACAGGAAAGTCTGCAAAAATCCCTGCTATTACACTGGTACTGGGTAACAAATGGCATATTTTGCTTCCAGCAAGTCACCTGTCAGACCACATCCATCTGGCCTTCTTCCTCCAGAAACATATTGTCCAAGGGTTGCTGGAAGAAGAATAAGAAAGGTGGCTGATGACTATAGATGGCACATAAGCCAGCTTTTATTTAAAAGCAATACAGAAGCCTAAATGCCACACACAGAGCTTAGAGGAACAGAACAAAGCCTAGGGAAAACTAAAATAAATCTGCAATTCATTTCTATATTTCACTGTAAGTCCATGTTGAAATGCCAAATTACCTGTAAGGTAAGTGCAATGTTGATGAATGGGATCTCAGCCAGCCAAAACTACAGGGTCTGGGAATAAAGCCACCTGAGCTGTCCAAGACAACAGACTTTGTGGAGGAGTTACATCACCACAGGACACAAACTGGACAGAACAGAGAAGAGCTCATGACTCTTCTCAAGAGAGCAGATGTCTGATTACTATTAAAAGAAAGGGAACAAGACAGCAAGAGGTCTTTACAAATCTTTACAAGATTTGTGTCTCCTCAACAAAGCATGGAGATTTCACATAATTTCCAAACATCAAGAGAATTAATAATAAATTATTTTGTGCTGTCTACTAATTGCTTAAATAAAGAGCTGAGAAATCAGACAAACAGGAACATTAGGAGAGAAGCCACGTAGTTCTGAGTGCTCCACTGGCCTCTGATCTCTGTCCTTCTCCCTCCAATACAGGCTTCTCACAAACACTGAGTATTAATTAGACAGGAATCACAGGAGATCCGTGTCACTTTTTTCACTGGACATCATTCAATTAATTTGTCTCCTCCCTGACAACTTTTTTCACTCTGTGTGTATTTTTTTCCTCTCTCTGTTGTCTGGTTTTTGTTTCTTTTGGTCAGAAAAGTTTCCATTCCAAGGACAAGTTCCTCAGAGTGTGGTGCCAACCTAGTTGAACCTACAAGCAGCAATGGCTGCAACAGTGAGTGCAATTTAAAGTTAAATGACTGGACTCCACGAGGAAAGTGGGGGAGGAAGTTTTCCTTAATTAAAGGTATGTGGTTTGTTTATTTTTCAGAAATAACAACAGCATAAAGCAATTAAGTGGAAGAATGATGGGAAAACAACATGCAGAGCAACCCTAAGAACACAAGTTGTAGAGGATGATGTGGTGAGCAAGATGAGAGAAGAAAGCAAACTGAAATAGGAGGCTTATGTGTTGGAGAACACTACAACTGAGACATAAACAGTTGCACTTAATGGCATTTGTATGTATTTTTCAAGGTGCATCAATTATACAGAAATCACTATAACTTGTTTGAATTTTTTGTGAGATTGTTTTATGGCAAGTTACAGTTTTCAGTAATGCCCAGGTAGACACATGAGAACTTTGGGGTTTACTACATGGGAAATGTATGAAATATATTCAATATTTTTTTCACTGCACAGAGAATATGAGATAATAACAGGGGTTTAGCATGACATAATACTATGGATTTTTGATAAGGGAATTTTGTTTGACTGTCTTGATTCAATAGTTTCAAAATTTGTACTACTTATACATGTCCAGAATTTGGCTTGTTTCAGACACCCTTAACAGATGTAGGGGTATGCCAGCTGTATGCCAGCTAATACTCTTTCTCTATTTTTCTTTTTAATCATAAGACAACATGAGGATGAGGTACCACTGCTAGTGTATTGGATTTGAATTTGAATGAAAAGAAAAGAGATAGATAGTGGTTAAAAGAAGTTTAGGCAGAGAATTTATGCTTTGTTTGCTCTACATCCCTAATATTAAGCAAGACATTTTCCTTGATGGGTTTATTTTTGTCTTGCTTTCTTCTGAAAATCTCACTGCTGAGGGAAATTTAAACCTCGCCTTAAATTTTCCAGTTGATACTCAGATAGCAGAAGCCAGGAATTTTATTCATCAGGTGAATTCCTGACACAAAATATCCAGACAGGTGTCTTGGCTGAAAAAGTGCTTCCCTCTCTAAAGATTTATTTCTTTTATTCACATAACCATTTGTTGATCACACCAGTACCTCATATATCACACTCTGGTTCCTTACAGGATTCTCTCAGACAAAGAGAGGCCAAATGACATGGTCCCTGTCCCTTTTTGCCTTGACAACACAAAGAGAATGGTCTGGTTAGTCAGAGGTGTAGAAAATGTGAAATGAGCAGCTTTCTTTTCAAGTTTTTTCTAGCACTGGGGGTTGAAACCAGCAAAAATCAGATATGTTTCCATTTTTGCACATTACCCAGCAGGTCATTATATGGGATTTTTAAGGTTCTATTGAGGGGAAGATTAACTGAGAAAACTTCACAAATTGAAAGGAGAGAAAATGTAGAACAGAGATTTCTTATCTCTGAAATAAACAACCTGGAGTTGTGTAAAATCACAGGTGCAAAGAAAATGCTGAATAAGCTCCTATTTCTGGGATGCTTTACTACACGCTCTGGTGTACTCTGTATCAGTGTAGACAAGAGTCCAGTGGGGCAGAGAAGGAAAGCCCTGTTATAGGGTGTGAGGTGAGGAGTCAAAGGGAAAACTGTGCTATGATAACTACTAGAACACAAACCACAAAAATTCATTACCTTCCAAGGACTCATGTCAGAGAAGTCAGAGTCCCAGTTAATGCTCAGCATCTGAAGGGAGAATCTGAGGGCACCAAATCAAGTACAGGACCTGATCCAGAGATTAGGTTATATAAAGCACTAAAAGATCACTTTCTCCCCAAATTAACCAATCTTATATGTTATTTTCTGGACTTCAAACCTTTTGCAGATAAGCTGAAGGAAGCTGGGAATATTGTCTTAAAGGCTAAGAAAGAGAAAAGTGATTTTTCATCACACAGGGACATGCCACTGTTGTAGAGAGAGCTCAGGGGATGTGTGGCAGTACTGAGAGCTCCATCAGAATCACTGTCACCTGAACTTTGCACAGCCTCAGGGAAAACTAATCAGAGACAGCTGCTCTCAGATAACTTCAATATGTTACTGATCCTGAGACAGTCAGACTTACAGTTTGGGATACCATCTCCACTGAAAATGGAAAAGGCTTGTGGTCATCTTAAGTGGAAATTCAGGAAGGAGATATTAATAGAAGATGTAAGAAATAAATGGGCTGAAGTTGTACTGTATAAACTCTTAGAATCCCCTCAGCTTTCTAGACAGATATGGAAGAGTTATTCACTGTTACCAAGTGTGTTTGCATTATTTGGGAAACAGTTTGTACAAAAAGTGAGGCTGAATAAACCAAACCCATGTTTAAATGCAAACAAGGTGATTTATGGAACAGTGTGAAGGAAATGCTATTAGCAGTTCAGACTGCCTCAAACCCATTGCACCTGAGAACATTCCAGCTTCCAAAATTAATGGGTTCAGTTCACAAGCTTTGTGACTGTGACGTTCAGATCAAAATGAGATCAGGCTACAAATTCATTTTAAGGTGGTCAAATGCCACAGAAAGTACAGGGTAGCCAACATTATATGTAATTTCATAAAATAGTGCAGCACTTTGTAGCAATGTTTGCTTACAAAATTAAGTAGCCCTGTGAGCAATAAAGCTAAAGAAACACCAGTTCCAGTGGATCAGATATTGTGGTTGGAGTCACTGGGGCATAAAATTACATGTTTATGGAGGGGTCAGTAATAAGGGCTTTCTCTTGTCTGTTTGACTCTCATTTCCAGGAAACACAAGATCTCATGTCTTTAAAATTACCTCTCCACCAGCTGGAAGGTTATGGGGGAAGAAAAGTAGAAAAGGCTAATTTCCTAAGAAACTCCACTACTATGATTACACCACAATTTTTTATAGTGTTATGGCAAAAATTCTTTTATACCTGAGGATCACGTCTTCCTTTCAGAATCTTGTAGTAAAAGTCTCTTCATAAGGTGTTGCAAAAACCTTTTGATCACTTGCAGAACAAACTGACAGCTATTAGCAGGAAGTCTCTTTATAGACCTAAGGAAGAGGTTGCTTATATGTTACAGTATATAATTGTTCTTCATTAGCAGCCCAAACAAACTCTGGAGTAAAGTACAGTTAAAGGAGAACGTGAAATGGTTTTTCAAAGAAAACAAGAGGATTTTCTCTGTGCAAGTCTTTTGATTTATAATGTTAGATATTAAGCAGGAAGACCAACAGAAAGTCCATTTGATAACACTTCCCATTTTAAAGGTACCTTCAATGTTGTGCAACTCCTTCAAAATTTACTGCACTAAAAAAAACCCTTTTCCTTCTGGCCCTGCATTTTTGAACAGCTGGGGAGGGTCTCTGACTGTGTGACTCTCTTTCCTTTGGTATTTAGCATCCTTTTATTTAAAGGACATCAAGCTATTTCCAGCAAAAACTGAAAAGACTGGATAAGTTTAAACCCAGGGGTTTTTTCCATTTACTTTCACTTTTACTATGACTATATTCAAACCCAAGGATATTCATGAAGATTTATCAGTATAAGTTTGGGAAAAAAAAATGGAAGTAAGTTGTGTTATGATTCCCTGGCAATATAATTTAGATGATCAGGATGCAGGTCATCACTGTGCCTCTCAGTCACAATGTCTGTTGACATCTATGTACTTTAATGAAGAGATAGAATATTCCTGTATCTCAGATTATATGGAATAATCAAAAGAATCCAGACATAAATTGTTTGGGTTTTGTGGTTAAGATTAATGAAAAAAGGGATTCTTCATTTAAAGGACTGCAGTATTTCTTGCACTTTGGGGGAAATGAGCAAAGAAAAAAACCCCTAAACCTGTGTATGCCTAAAGATGTTATAAAAACCCCCATAACCCAAAGCCTTCTTCATTATTCTATGTAACATTATCTGCTTATGCTTATTCAAAATCTGTTCTTGCTCTCCTTCTGACTGTAACCTGTTCAACATCATCTATAAGTAAGGCATGAAGTCAGTTCCTTGGCAGCAGAGCACCAAATACAAATTTTGTCAAATACCCATAGTCAGGCTGCTGCTCAGTTCCATCTTTGGGACTGACACTCCACAAAACCTTTCACCAGGAATCATTTCTAGAGCGAGATAAGGGATGTAAACAGAACCTACAGCTGCAGAACCTGAAATAACAAGAAGATATTGCTGTTTTCATCCCCCAAATTAAAGCTACAACCAATTTTTAACTCTTCTCGATGCACCTCTGTGTTTGGGTAACATTTGAACAGTCTTTTTCAGTGTTCATTTTAAAACAGACTGTTTTCAAATTACCTTCTCAATGCAAGTAATGATATTTCATCTAAAACTTTGTGCAGGCACATGATGGGCTGTAAAAAGGTAGCTGAGCATCCACTGGTGGCAGTTTGTAACAGGGCTGGGTGATTTGAATCTATGTTGTTCATTCTCCATCACAGAAATTGCTGCTGTTTCAAACCATTCAGTCATTTTCACCAGTTCTGGAGATTCTCAGAGAGTTCCTTTTGAGGGGATTAGTGTTTGCTCTCCCTGCTGCCATATTGACAACTCAGCTAAAATGAGCTTATTTTAAAAATAGCTGCTTCTAATTCTTATAGCTGTGAAAATTTATTGTGCAAAGGTGACATGACCTGCCACTGTCAGTGATGTGAATCACCAAAACATTTATTTTAAGAATTTTGTGCTACCTGCTAATCTCACTGAAGATCTACCTGTGAAATGTAATGAGGACAATTTATACATTGTTTTTTTAAAAGCATTTAAAAGGACAAATCCCAATGATTTGGGAATAAATTTGTTCTCTTAAGTTATCAAAACACTTGGGAAAATATTCCAATTAGCTATTTCTCTGCTAATAATTCTAATGTAAGTATCCAGGTGATACCACTTCTAAAGAATCCAAACCTATCTTATGCATTTCTTTTGAGTTTCCAGTTTCTCACTGCAGCTGTTTGTTCTGTTTATAAAAACACCCTACATTGTTCTGGAGTGCTGGTGGGCAGAAAACAGTCAGTACAAGGGCCCTACAATGCTTGAACTTGTATTGTTTGACCTAAACCAGTGGTACAGGACCCCCACCAGCAGTGAGCTTGGTTTACCTTCCAGCCTGCAGTTCAGAACACCCTCAGGGCTCCTCTGGAGTCCTTCTGGAACAGCCTCTTCTGGAGTCTGCATCTGGCTGAGAAATGGGCTTAGCAACAGCAAAAGATCTTATAAAACACCACTTAACTGCACATTTACTATCTTTGTAAATTCTCACTGTGCAAACCTCTAGACCTCAAATATTATTTTTCTGTATCATTCCACTGAGTAAAACAGAAGTAGGCATCTGAATGAGAAATGTTTTTTCTGGTTCTCTCACTGGGCCAGACATGAGGCATTCAGAACACTTAGGTTTGTTCCAGAGATAGTGTCTGATATGAAAACTAACAACCAACACCACAGAGATACTTCTAGGAGAAAGAAGTTCTCCATTTTTAGAATGAAAAATATAAACTAAGAGGGGGTAATGACACTGAGTGAGTTTGGAGGGAGACTTAACAAAATTAATTCAGAATCATATGTAACTACTTGTTCATAATTTGACTCCTCTTTATCAAATTATTCTTGTTTTCTTACAACTGCACATCACAGAAATATCCTGTAATGAGAAGACTTTTGGATAGTAACTTTAAAATAAAAGTTACAGTAATAGCTTTATGTTTGGCAGTTGCTATTTTGGTTGTGCAAGTATGAGATTATACATCACACCACTTGCCTATTATTTCTTATATTTTTAAAACTTAGAGATAATTGAACAATGCATTAAGAACAAATGTGCAGCAAAACATTATTCATATTCAAAAGATGGGGAAAAACAATGCCTTTACCTTTCATCAGCAAAACTGTCACTCCTCCCTGTCTTGTGCCTCTGCAAGTTTTCTTTTTTTCATAACAAAACCAAAATCCAGTTGTGGTCACTTAGGAATTCTGTTCTCTTGTTGGAAACAGATTAGCATCAGCACTGTAACTGCAGATAAACTTTAGGTATCTTTATGCTATTCACATTTGCCTCAGTTGCTGAATACTCATTTATCTAACTTTGCTCACTTTAAAACCCTGTGGTTACTTTTTGAGTGAGAGAGGTATAAATTCTGGCACTGCAAAACTTTCTATCAATTCAGAACAAGCTCTGTCTTTTGGTACCTGCACCTTTTAAGCAAATATATTTTGGTTTCTCTGAGGAGTTGTAGTTGAAGAGCAAATGGCAGCATGGAGGCAAAATGAATTTGGATAGCAAAACACTTTAATCACAGATGTTGCAGTTTTGTCACTTACATCACTTCCCTGTCACATGGAAAGCATGATGCAGGCTGGGAGTGCAGTGGTTCCAGCCATGGGTATGGTTCTGGGATCCCGTGGGCTCATCCCCACTCCCTGAGGCCAGAAAGGGGATCCTGGACTCTGGTGCAGGCTCTTGAGGTCACCCCCAGCATCTCACCTGTACTATGTTTACCTCAGAAGTTTCCTCAGCTCTAGGACCCTGCTGATGAGCAGCCCCTTCAGAGCACCCTCTGGTTCTGGTTTTGCTGCACCATCACTGAGCTCACCAGCTGCTTCCTCGGACACTCTGGACACGGCTACACTGTCATCCAGGAACAGCCAGCAGTGGAACAGTCAGGTGTACTCAGCATGGCCAGCAGGCACAGGAATCTGGGTTACAGGAACACACATTTCCTTTCCCTCCCGTTCCAGGTGCAGCTCAGGCAGGCACAGAGGGCTGAGCACAACACTGTGGTTACCTCAAAAACCACGGAGCCGCCTCCCACCGAGGGGCTGCTCTGACAACTCAACCCCATTCCCAGATTCCTTCCCCCTTAATGCAGTGACTGAACGTTGTCCCAGTCACACCCACACTTCCTGATCTCCCACTGGGAGTTCACAGCACCTATTTAAAAAAACCCATCATCAATAAAGCCATGGGGAAGTGCTGGGTGTGCTCAGCACAAACTGAAACCAACAGTTAACTCTCAGAACAGATACACCTCTACCTCAGCTCCTTAGGCCAAGTTCAGGAAAAGTTTTAACTAGATATAAGCAAAAAGTTGCCAATGAAGACTTGCTTGGTACATTTAAAGCAAAAAATGTTATTTTGTTGTACAACAACAGCTAAGTGTTTTCTTTTTACTACACTGAAAATGGGCCAGCTGCCTGATTTGGCATTTAGAAGTCTGGTGAAATGGTGGAAAATTAATCTTATTTTCTTGTCCTTCTATTACTAAGTGAAAACAAAAGGGAGGAAAAAAATTTAGAAAGCAGCAAATATATTATTAGCTATACTGAGACTATGCTGAATTTACTTACTTGAACAATACTGCATGCCAGCTGCAGCAACCAAAACAGGTGACTGATGTAAAAAGCACAGGAAAATCATGCAAAAGCACAAGTCTTGTTTAAAGTCTCTATATAAATATAACCAGATCCTGTGTGCCCCACAATTCCAAATTAAAGAGCAAAAAAAACTTTTTAAAGAAACTTAAAAGATACCAGGTAGCCTTATTTTTTTAGGACTCTGGATTTAAGTTTGTAATCAAGCTACAAGAAGATCCAAAAGAAAAAAACCACCACTACATTCTAAACCAGACAGTTAAGACAAGTGAAATTCAGTTCAAGGTGGTGAACCAAGCTGACCTCGTAGCTGGACAACATCTCTTTAAATCAGAGCCTTTTCTCTAATAGAAGGCAAAGTACTTTGACACACTTTCATCTTTATTTAACGAGCAGGTTGTTACTTTTAAGATTTTCATTCATTTTATCTAGTAAAACCATTCAGTTTTGTAAATAGAACTCTGGGAAGGTTGTGCATCTCTCTAATACTAAAATCCAGGAAATGTATTTTTCCATGGACTGCTTTACATCCATAAATAGAGCACATTTCTTTCTACATGTTGGTATTTGGGTTTGCTGACAACACGAAACTGGGAGGAGCTTCAACTCCCTGAAGGGCAGAGAAGCCCTGCAGAGAGACCTCCACAAATCAGAGGTGGGCCATCATCAACCATGGCAAGTTTAACCAGGACAGGTGCTGGACTCTGCCCCTGGGGTGGGGCAGCCCTGGCTGTGTGTATGGACTGCAGAGCAGCTGTGGGAAGGGCCCTGGGGGTCCTGGTCAGTGGCCACTTGGCCATGAGTCCTTGTCCTGGGGCATCAGGGAGGGGATTGTCCCACTCTGCTCTGACCTGGGGCAGCCTCTGCTCAATATTGGGGCAGTTGGAGGGACACAATGTAAGGGAGATATTGAGCCATTAGAGAGTGTCCAAAGGAGAGCAATGAAGATGAAGGGCCTTGAGGGGAAGCCGTGTGAGGACACTGAGGGCACTTTGTGTGTTCAGCTGGAGAACAGGAGACAGAGAGGAGACATCATTAGGATCTTCAACATCCTCCCGAGGGGCAGGTACTGATCTCTTCGCTCTTGTGACAGTGACAGGACTCAAGGAAACAGCATGAAGCTGAGTCAGGAGGTTTAGGCTGGATATCAGGGAAAAGTTTTTCACCTGGAGTGGTTGAGCACTGGACCAGGCTCCCCAGGGAAGTGGTCACAGGACCAAGCCTGTCTGAGTTTCAGAACACTCTCAGGCACATCGTGGGATTCCTGGGGATGTCCTGTACAGGGCCAGGAATTGGACTCAATGATTCAGTGGATCCCTTCCAAGTCAGCATATTCTAGGATTTGTGCAAACCATTCTCATTTTGGAAGAAAGAGGCTTTCTTCAATTGCAGAATTCCACCAAGTATAATTTCCTGCAATTCTGATGTGTACAGGGGATTACACAAAATGCAAGGCTTTCCTGCAGATAGTATATTAAACTCTATTGCAACTACAAGACTTGATAACATTACCAAAATGATGTTTACGTTTTGGAAGGGGGTTCTGACTGCAAGATGTCCACTCTTCCAGACTTCTCAGCTCTCTGGAATGAAACAAACAGCTCACTGCAGCATTAAACCTTACTTATGCTTGGCTTGCTTTACTTGAACCAAAATGAATAAGAGTCATAACGGTGGTGTAACCGTGAAGCAGGTCATCCTTAATGTCATTACATTCTCTTAATACGAAATTCCCAGTAACTATTCGATCACATCCTATTTCCCCGTGTCCAAAAAAGCCAAAGAGGGGCACGTTTGGGAAAAACTTCCTGAAGGCATCTGCTTCCATGTTCCTCTTGGTTTTGTAGTGCCGGTACCCCCTGCCCACGCAGGCGAACATGAAGCCCAGGGTGTTGTGCTCGGGGATGTTGGCGGCCTTGAGGCGCTGCACGGCCGCCTCCGCCGTCCGCTCGTCGGCCACGTCCTGGTCCAGCAGCACGGTGGCACTCTGGATCTGGGGCCCGCTGAAGGCCAGCCCCACCACCCCGCAGGCGTCCCCGGGCTGCGCCTGGGCACTGCAAGGACACGGGCAGCGGGTTAGAGGGCGCTCCAGGAGACCACTGCCCACCCCCTGAACTGCTGCTGCTGCACCAGGGGGGTTCAAAGGAGCCACCACCCAGGGGATTCTGACACCACCCCCAGCTGGAAAACAGACCAAAGCCTTCGCATTTTAGCAATTTTTTTTTTTTAGCAACCTTTCCCAAGGAAAAGGTTCCACATCCATTATTGGGGATTAAGCAGAAACTTACTGTTTCATGCATGCCAAATTCAGCAGTTTGTGTATGTCACAGCTCTGCAATTCCAACTAAACTATTAGTTGAACTTAAGGCAAGCAAATACACTCATCATTTACACATCAAACCAGGGCAGCAGGCAGTAAAGTTCCATATTCATGTTGCTTTAACTTGGTTGGCCAGGTCACACAGGTTTTAGTAGTTACATACTAATGTTTTATTATCAGTCACGTAATATAAGGCCAGCTCTGTTATGTGCAGCTGGAAAACTGGATGCAAGAAACATGCTGGTATTAGTATGGACTCCAGACCTACAATGGCATGAGAGGAGCCCATGGGCATTGCCTGCATGTGCTCCACAGAGCGAGGTGCTCCAAGTGCAGATGCACCAGTGGCACAAAGGGCTCTGTCTGCCTGTGCAGCAGAGCAGCTGGAGCAACTGGGCCCAGCTCTGCCCTGCAGGGTCCTGGGCAGGGAAGGGGTGTGAGCTGGATGAGATCTAGCCAGTCCTGGGAGTGCCACATCCTTCCACAGGGCAGCTCCTGGGGCACAGCCCTGTGTGTGTGTGCAGCTCCTGCTCTGGGGTGTGAGCCAAACCCAGGCACACACACGGACACGTGGTCACATCCATGGTCTCTGCCACAATGGGGAATCATTTATTAAACACTGACTGCAATAAACACACAAAGGGTATCTGAAGCTGGAAATCTCCTTTTCAGTGGGTTTCTCCTAGTTGAGTTTCCAGAATCCAATTGGTAACACAGCCACACAAAACTTCCAGCTTTTCTGCCTACGTCACAGTGTAGCAGTTGTGACATTTTTCTCTTAAAGAAATTACCATTTTACTCCTGTTAAAGGGCATTTCTAATACAACTAGAAGGCTACGGATCTGCAGTGTCTCCCATTTTAAATCCTTTTTATCATTTACCTTGAAAAAGATACCTACTTCTCAGAGGTCAGTGATGTGAAGCTCTCCACCTGTCCCCCAGCCAGGATGATACTTTTCTCATTCAATGGGTTGACTATTTGATGAAGAAATCGAGTAGCTCCAGACTTCCAGGAGTTGTAGCCAAACAGAAGAACAACACGGAGATCTGGGTTATTCTTCAGACCTACAAACAAAACCAAACACTGATCCTCTCTTCTTTTTAAATCCCAAGCCCTGAAGCCCAACCTTCCTAGTCTCTCCTCAAATAAGAAATCACACCTTTAGTAATGGCTTTCTGTTGCAATTGGGAAGGCAAGACACAAGTTGCCCAGGCAGGAGCTGGGCTGTGTTCCCCACCTGAGAGAGAATTTCTGGAAAGAACTTTGCAAGGAAAAAAACAGACTGCATCTGCTTCCTCCAGCCTTCCACTCCTTTACCACAGCATGTGAGTCTTACCACAGCTCTTCAGTTTTACTTGACAGTCTTTACAGGTAAGAACCAGGCATATGAGTTATTCAAGAACCATAATACAGTGAATAGCTTTATCTGAAAATGAAATAAATTCCACACTTCAGCAATTTTCCTATCCCAAGGCAGAACCCCCCAGGTTCCTAGAAGACTCAAGAGACCCTTCTGACATTAGTCTTCATAAATAACCTACTCTGCTGAGGACACAATGTGAAGAATATGAACTGTATTCACTGAAATATGCTGTCTTCTGCTCTGCCTTCCCTTGCTACAATACCCTACTTGGGATCCAAATGCCAAGTCATTTTGGGGAAGAAGAGAAGCAGCTCTTCCCCACTTGTTTCTAAATTGCAGTGACAGGAATAATTCCCAGTGGAATATTTTTAACCAATTAGAAGCTGCTTAAAACCTAACAACTCTCTGAACAACTCCACCTGGAACCTAACTGAGGTAATCTGAGACTGATACTCAGGATAACTTAACCTTAATGCTCCACAGATTGGGAGGAACAGAGATGCACAATTACCAGCTGCAGCCCTACAGAGCCAGGGGGCTCTTGGAGCCAGCACAGAAGCTGCTGGTTCCACACATCACTCCAGACTGGCACCTCAAAGAGCAGCACAATACTTCACAAAAGCCCAAGTGAAGAAGAGAAAAAGGACATACCTGCTTCAGCAAATTTATTTTCATCAAAGACCCTGTTCTTCACATCTTTAGAAAAATGGAAGGTGTGAATTTTCACCCCATCCATTTTGGGAAACAACAGAGCAAACCCAGCTTCGCCCTCTTCAATTTCTTGAGGCTGATTGCTGCTGGAACCCATGGGGGTAACTGCAAGGAAACAAAACCAGGCATCTTGTGTTCAGGGACTCTCATACTTTCATCTACACTGTAACAAGAACTAAAACAGGCTGAACAGCTCAGGGGATGTAAAACATGACAACTTATTTCCCTAACAACTTATCTAATTGAAAACTGGTGTGATTTTTTTTTAGAATCTTTTGGAAAGATGAAACACATAGAAGTCCTGCTGGCTATGGATTGTGCTGAAGTCACTTGGGATAAGGAGACATGGATATATTTGGACATTTCCCCACAGTCACACCAAATATAAAACAGTAGGAAAACAAGCACGGGTCTTCCTACCAACTTCTACAGGCACACAAACATGCTCAGGTTTTTAAGGTGTTATACAAGCATGTGATGACAGTATAAACCAAACTGACACAAATACTGGGAGTGTATTATTCAATTATGGTAGTGGTAACAATCAAATACCCTACTTACACCGTGGGGGTTGAATTTAGGGTGAGTAACTACAAAACCCCCAACTTTCTAATGATGACAAAGGGAAGCATGAGGAAAAGCCTGCCAAGGAAGGCTGTGAATTATCCAATTACTGCACGTGCCTCCTGCTAGACCACAGCAAACAGGTATATACCAAGGATGTCCTGTACAGTCAGTCACAATATGACTGAAATATATACATAAATCCAAGAAACATTCTGTAAGTACATCAGTGCCAGGAAAAGCTGCCTAACCGGTTAAATCAATCCTTTTAATTATGACTGCAATACACAAAGTAAGCTCCATGTGTCAATGAGCAGCAACACTGTGAACTCCTTAGAACTGAAGCCAGTGCTGAACAAGGTGGGAAAAGACATCTCCAAGCTGATCTCTCACAAAAACCACGTTTTGCTCCTACCTACAATCCCTGGGGTGACCAGTCCAAGAACCTGACATCGCTTTGGCAACAACTTTTCAAGTGCAAGTGCTGTTTCTTTACTGTTTCTTTTCCTGGCTGTTAAAATAAGAAAAAGAGACAGGAAAACATCAGAGAGAAGTAAAAGTGCGTTCTGAGCAGAACCCCCGTCCTGTTGAGCCAATGCTGCCCATCAGCGGCCGCCCTGGTAACAGCACACAGGTCTGAGCCGTGTACGAGCACAGGGCTGCCGGCACCAGGGACTCCGTGTCCTCCAGAGAAGGGAAAGGATCCGCGCACATTAACACACACCTGCAGGCTACTTCACATCACAAAGGCAGGACTAGGGGGTCGTGCTTTTTGCAAAAGATTTACTTCCCATTGAAATTCGCACCACGCAAATTCCCTTTCAGCCGACGCTGCTCCACCAACACCCCGAGCACTCCCGGAAAGGGCAGCGAGTCAAGGGCAGGTGTTACCTTTCTTCTGCTCGTGACACTCCTCGTGCCCGCTGAACGTCTCGGCATCGGCGATGTAGAGCACGGTCTGGGGCAGCACATGCACCTTCTGCAGAGACACGGGACAAGGAGTGCGGGGACAGGGAGGGAGGGAGGGAGAGACAGAGCGGCGGCACGAACCGAGGAGACACCGCTCCGAGGGGACACGGCCCCGGCCCCCGCCCCGAGCTCCCGTCAGACAACAGGACACCTCCCGCAGCCTCAGCACTGCCCACACTGATCTAATGAAGGGGCAGCACGGGCACAGAACCGACCCAGGCCCCACACGAGCGAGGACAGCTCTGCAGCCTGGCCCCCTGACTGCTCGTTTTAACGCTGTCTAAACTCCCTCCAGTCCTGGCTGTCGGCTTTGGTTTAACACTCATCTGTTGAGGTCTCTGTTTAGAGCTTAACAACTTGACAGGAATCTTTCTGTGGTGAAGATCTAGCACTAGTGAACACTGGAAAAGAATCCTGCGAAGAAAAATCCTTCAGTGTTACATGTGATCTCCCGGGCTAAAAAAGGGTTATTATTCTACGAGATCGCGAGATGAAGAGACTGCGACACTGATCATGGAAAGACGCGCGAGCAGTTTCCATCAGTGTTTAACTAAACACGCACGAATGTCCAAACCGCTCAAACTGACGTCGGGCCCTGGAGGAGGGGCAGGAGCGTTCAGGGCCGGCACGAAGGCGCTGACAGAACACACACGCACCCCTACACACACGCGGTCCGCCCTCACTCGAGCTGCGGCCAGCATCCGCACAGCGAGCGTGGCTGTCGGCGGGGCCGGCTCAGCGCCGACACTCCAGGCGATTCGACTGCGCGCCCGCGAGTCGAGGCGATCCTCCTACCAGCGGACACTACTGCAACAACAATGCACGGAACTCCGGTCGGCCGGCCGCCCCGCAATCCGGGGCCGGCCGCCGCTGCCCTCACCTCCCCGCGGCCTAGGCGCTTAAGGCGGCGCATGAAGCGACTTGGTGGGCAGGAAGCCGAGGAATCGCTCCACACCTCGGCCAGAGTTGGCGGGGGACACGAAGCGCCCTTAAGCCTCCATGGCCCCGCGCTCACGGCCCCGCCGATCACGGCGCCCGCCGCCACATCACGGCCCCGCGCCTCACGGCCGACAGCCGCTCACAGGCCCGCCGCCTCACTGCCCGCGCCTCACGGCCCCGCGATCACGGCACGCAGCTCACGGCCCGCGCTCACGGTCGCCGCCCCGGTCACAGACACCGCTTCTGCTGGCAGGCCGGGCCGCGTAAGGGGCCCTAGCGGGGGAGGGAACGCCCGACTCACACGCACCCGTCCACCTTCAGCCCCCGGGCCCCAGCACGGACACAGTTCGTAAAATGCTTTTTATTTATAAACTTGATGCAAGTTTACAAAGTACTGTACATTGCCAAGGAACTCTGCCAGGAGAAGTGGAACCCACACCGAAGCATGCGCCGAGGGCGGGCGGCGGCCGGGGCCGGGTCTGTCCCTCACACCCCGCCCACGGGAAGCGGTGCCAAACCTCGCCCATCGCTTCTTTCGAGCTAAAACTGGATCTAGAAGCAAATGCACAAGGACCCGCGGGTGCCTGATAGAGAGAAGAGCACAAGTTTGATAGTCAACTAAAAAAAAAAACAAAAAAACATAACAAAAACATGCTTCTGCACTTGTGGAAGTGCTTAATCCACGGAACACACCCTTAGCTTGGCCCCAGCGGTGCGAAGGCCTAACGACTAAAACTACAACCAAAATAGAGTCGATTTCTGTAAGGCAATGAAATTGTGTAAGTTCACAGACCCAGGTCCGTCTCCTAATAAAGAACAAACAGTTCCCATTAGTCTCTCAATAACAAAACCACTGTCATGACTATGGCAACATCTCTTATGCCTCTGAAGCGGATGACATGTTCTTGTACTTTATTGTAGCTTTTATATAAAAATTTTTCATTCAAGGACTTTCATCTCGATTTGTGCCAATTACTTTATAAGTTCATTAGTTTACAAATGATTGCAACAACCCGTTAATAAAATGGAACACCTAGAAAGGTTTTTAGTATTTTAAATAACTTCAAGCTTCATACTGCGGCTCTTCTTGTTAAGGAGGTTGAGCCAACAAGTAGCAGGAACAGCCCAGCAAGTTCTGATGCCCCAGTGGAAGTGACTAGTTACAAGGTTTTATTGGCACAGCCTTGCTCTGCATAAAAACAAACAAACAAAAAAAAAAAAGGGAAAAACCCCCAAACCTAAACAAAAAATTAACATAATCTAAACAAAGAGCATCTTTTCCAATAAACAGTTCATATTCTCATACAGCCATGAAAAATGTTTAATGACTTAACATACATGTGTTTTTCCTATATCATTAATTTGGAAATACTACAAACGCTGTCATTTTAGACCAGAAAAAACTACTGTGATTTGCAAGACCTGACATTTCCTAAAACAGTATTAAACAATGTATTAAACTTCTTGGCTTTAAATGAAACAATACAACGCAAGTTCTCTGCAGTCTGCATTTTGCAAAAGGTAAGAAATACACAAAAGTGTGTGAACAACTCACTCCTACTGAATGATCTTTAGTAAGTCGGTAGCCTGCTGTAGGGAGAGCTTATGCTTTCAAATAAAAAAAACAAGGAGAAGGGAGGGCATGGCCCAAATATGCTTAATCCATAAGAACAAATGTGGTAAAGGCCCAAACTGCTCAGTCCAGATACCTACGGAGAGCGGAATGGTAAGGCTGTAACTTATACTGTATGTGTCAGTTGACAGATTATCCACTAACTTATCTAATAGCTAAAGTCCTCAGTACAGCTGTTATAGGGGCACTCATAGCTTGAGTCTGTGTGTTGGAAAACATAAAAAAGAGCTTGTTTTATTGACATTGGTCCAGGTAGACAATAGTCCTCAGCGTTAGCCATCTTCTTTTGGAGGAGTGTACCAGCCTGTGGAGAACAGAGACATGTTAGGGACTGACACACTGCTGGTCCAGACCATCTTACCCTCTCATCTGTGGGAGAAGGAAGCCTAACCTGGCTCCTCCCTTCCCTCTTAATGTAGGCCAGCTCAGTGAGACCCAGTTCCCTAAATGCTACTGGTCAGCAGTGGGACATGAAGCATGTGTAAAGGATCAGACCCAGTCCTTGAGAGTGCAAATTAAATATATCCAAGTTTGGGGGGGTTTGTGGCAGCAGCTATCCTGAGCTGGACAAACTGGACACCGACAAAGGAAGCTGCTGAAGGAGGAACACTGCTGACAAAACTTAGTGGAACAGAGGTAAACCTCCCAAGCCTTCAAGCCACTTAATGCACAGACATACAAACACAACTACACTGGGACACTTATATAAATCCCATTTTGTGTACTGTGGAGTTAGGCATGCACAAGCAGTTGAACAGTTTATCCTTTTTCTGCAAATCTTCCTGGAGGAATAAGCTCTGAAATGTCAGTTGAATAACTGGTCTCCTGACACAATTTGGAATGTTTAGCAGCTGAATCATACCTGATCAAGAGTGCACAGCTTCTTCTAGCCACCTCCACAGCTCCAATCTTAACTCTCCCAGCCCCTATAGCAAAACTTCCTCTAAATGTGTATACACCCACTATGGAGCCTATTAATGCCATCCCAGAGAGCAGGCAGCAGGTCTAAGCTAAAGACACCTTTCCCAGCAGCATTAGGTGCTGTGAGTGCTTTGTGTACAGCTCTTGATGCAGGAGTGATCACTAGCCTAGGCCAGCACACAGCCAGAAGTAAACAGACAGCCATGCTGGCCTTTGTAGGGAACTAAAATAGCAAAAGGCTGTTCATGGCAAGATCAAACTATCATAACATTGGAAAGCACATTAAAGTCATTATCTTTGACCTTCCTCCCAACAGCAGAGAAGGTGTTATGTTCCATTTTAGCTGCAGGGAAACTGAGGCTCTGACTGCAGTCACACTGAAACACTCCCTTGTGTTCACAGCAACACGAACTCCCAGAGGACACTGCATCCAACCCAGATCAGAGAACGTCACAGAAGAGGTAACTGGACTAACTCCTGAATCACAAGACCAGATACCAATTCTGCTGACTACCTTTACATAACCTGTAAGCTACTTAAAGCTTTTAAAGCCTCAGGTTATTTATTGTCTTCTCATACTGGCACGAGTAAATGCAATTACACCTGAAGCAGTTTTTTATGCAGCAGAGAGACTACTGCAGAGGGTAAAAACAGGGTAAAAAAAAAAAAAACCAAACCAAAAACACAGGTGTCTCCCTATTCTGTTGTACAGTTTTCCATCCAGGACATCTCACTTGGACTTCTTGTATTTTTTTAGTCTCAGGTCTTTCTTTCCATTTTATCTCTTCCATAATGATTACTGCACTAAGGTCTTGCCACGTTGAAACAAAGCCTTTCAAGGAAGGGACAAGCTCCCAGTAGATATTTCAGTAATAAATAAGTCCCTTTTAAAGCTACAGTAACAACAAAGTTCCTAGACCAACTGGCTGAAAACAAAATGGAGCTGCCTTTCAAGAAACAGTAGAAACACGTGGAAACATTTCATGCAAACTGGAGAAGTTGCAATGATTGCAGTCAAGTTCCTTTAAGCACTCTTGTTTTCCTAGTGCAAGAGGAGAAGGAAACACCATTTATGGTCTTCCCAAGCCAACATAAGACACTGTCACTTCCAGTCTCTCTGTGGTCAAACACCAGTTCCCAGGGTGCTCTGCAGACAAGGACAAAGTCACAAGAATATACATACCATTTTTCTCATGGATTTGTACTAGTGACTTATAGGACTGCTGTGCTCTTGCTAGATTATATTGATTCTGAAAGGAGAAAAAAAACCAACATAAAAACCTGCATCTAGACATGGAAGACTTAAGAACAGTTCTTCTACAAGGAAACTCTACAGCGGGTTTACAAATAAAACCCATGCACAATGTTGGAACTTTTCTGGCTTTCCAGTACAAGGTTGTCAAGACAAATATCCTTATTTTCTCATTTCTCCTCTGTCATAATGACAGTATTTTGTAGAGCCCTGCTGCTGGGAAGGTTCAGAAGGTTCAGACCCTGGGGTGAGTCAGAAGCATGTGTGAGCAGAACAGAAGGCTTCAGGCAATCCCTGCCATAACTCTGTCCTGCTCAGCTGGGTTAGGCAGAATTGTGATCATAAACTTTTACATCTTACCTGAACTGGTACTTAACAGACACCCAAGTGACAATTTTGCTGTCTTAAAAATTAAAACATAATTCGAAAGCAGCATTTAATTCTTCACAGCCTTTTAAGTTATGGTCTGTTACCAGCATGCACACTTGAACTGGATTGTGCTTTCAATTAATGCTGAATGGTGAGCTCTGAAGTATTTGCATGTTATTATTTTTTCCTCTCTCATAAAACTTTGCAGGTGTCTCCAGCAATAGGAGAACTTCTTACCATGAATCTATGTAATCCTGGCTGTCATCTACAGCCCTTCTCAGAGCCAGAACATCCAAATCCTCCTAATTCTGATCCTCCTTCCCTCCCTCCCTTGCCAATGCAAGGATAGTAAAGTCTAACTACTTAAAACCCCTGCCCATCCCAAGGTTTTATCTAACTCATATGCTCATAATTACATAACAAACTCTTAATTGCCTCTAAAATACTCATACACATGCACTAGACATCAAGACAACTCAAAATGCAAATATATTTGCAATGACAATTCTGTCATTAAACATCTGTGCAAGTCAACAAAGAAATGGAAGCCTAACAGTGATTTGTGTAATTGATAAACAGCACATTTACCTTATTGGCTCCAAACTGTACTCTGGCTTTTCCTTTGACTAAAGTGGCATTGATCTGCATGATGACTGATTCTATTGAGTAGGCACTGCTCCAGCCCTGGAGGAGGAAGGGAATTTTAACATGTAACATGTACTTGTTTCTTGTGCTCACACTGTAAATCTATTTTGGAATGTGTGCTTTGGGATTATTTTTTTTCCTGAACTCCAGTTTTACTTTTAACTACTTCTTTTCAGTTAACTTTTATTTTCCACAGAAAATCTGTAAAATGATACACAGTATTAGTACTAAGAACTTGTAAGGAAAATGAAAAGGCTGAATCACACATTTCCAAAATACAGCAAGACAGAAACAAAAAAGCTCCATTCCTACAGCACTCACACATTTTCAGCAACATCACAACAGAAATTACAACTTCTTGTTCCAAGAAGCAGAAAAGACTGATATCTAATGAAGTCATTCATTGAGCTGTGAGAATTTTGCTCCCATGACTACTATTGCTCATCTCTGCCATTGCTCTACCTTCCAGTGCTCACAAGAGCTTCTGCCAGAGCCTGCAGAGAGTTACTTCATTCATTTATTTAAAAATCAGTCTGTCTACACAAGAATAACCTATGCCTAGAATCTCCTGTATTCCTCCCTTCTCCAGAGCTGACTCTGTGCAGTTGAAGAGACTTCTGGAAAAGAAAACAATGTGTCTTGTTCCCCAGAACTCCCTCTTCACACTGGCTTCCTCACAGAAATTCTGAGAATGCAAAGGTGATGTGCTCTCACTTCTTCTGCCTCTTCCTCAGATCTCTTGTAAGCCATCCAAGGTAGAAAAGAAGATCTCACACAAGATCTGCAAGGCAAATCTTGTGGGACTGAGGTTTATTCCACCATGCTCCCTTTGGAGTGTGTAATTTATTCCACACAGGAATTCTTCAACTCAGGGAAAACACCTATTTTTATTATTTTAAAGCATGTTTTGTTATTATCCAGATAACAGAGCCTGTATTCACCTGTTTAGTAAGAAGTTCCATGCATAATGCACCTCCACCTAGGACATACCTAGAAACAAAGGTGAAAGAAAATATATTTGACATCAGCAGTTAGTAAAAAGATGCAACTGCTCACTGCACTTTAAGCTCTTGCCAGCTCGTTTGTTAAATTCCTTGTTCATAAAGTTGAAATGCCCTTTAACCAGAAATATATTGTAACTAGTGAGCCATGTTATACTCTTAAGCAAAGAAGATTAGCATTGTGAGACAAAAAAAAAATTGTTTGCTAACTAGACTTGATTAAAACCAGTGACTAATCTAGTGTGCACAACTGCTCAGAGACACTGGAAAAAAGAAAAGTTGCCTTTTATGGTTATGCTACCTTTTATGGCTACGCTACATAGGACTGATGGGTGGTTCAAAAAAGCCAACAACAGTCAATTCTGTAAAGAAATTTAACACAATTTCCAACAATATGGGTGCACCTATAAATCAAATGAGATAAAGCAGATCTTTGCTTGCTCTTTCCCTATAAACTCCTTTCTAATTTCAATAACACTTCATCATGCATTGTGCTGACTGGGACTCAGCAGAAGACCTGAGCACCACAAAACCTGAGGGAATAGAACTGACCACTCCCAAAATGTGGTCTGCTCTAGGATCAAGGCATTCAAACCATTCAGAGGGAAATGACTGCTGAAAAGCTATTCTTTGTTTCATTCTACAAAGTCCAAGTAGAACAAAACGAGAATCCAAAGAGGGTTTTCTGGTGTTTGGCTCTGCTTGTTCAGTTTAGAGACTGCAGCACCCCTCATGAATGCTATTTAACTGCACTAACCATGGCTTGAATTCAAAAAAGACACACAGCAATTAAAATCAAATCAGGATCAGCTATCACAGACTGCATTTTCAAATGCAGGTATCATTTTCTGTCACCAGAAGATGCATAAAAGCCTTGGAAGGTGAATTTAATCTTCTCTCCATGCATATATAAAAGTTTCTGTGCCACAGACAGCACTTCAAACATGCTTTAGATGACTTTTGGAGCATGGTGTCCATTAAATGTAGTGGGCTTGGATTAGCATTAAAGGATTTTTACACAAAATCTTTATGGCAGTGTTACAGCAAGAGAGAACCAGTTAGGACTATACAGCAAATTTAAGGCAACACAGGGATCAAGACCCATTCAAAGCACCAACTCAACCATCCACAAAGAGGCCAGTTCTGGAACAGTAGGGCAGGCACAGAGTTTTTCAAGTTGTGACACTTCTACCACCAAGTACAATTTCTGTAGGGCAACTCAAACCTACCCTCCTGTGAGCACAGGAGACACCACTCGCACAAAGGGAGGATCAAAAGGGAAGTTATCCTGAAAAGAATAATAGAAAAAAAAAAAAAAACACAACAGGTTAAGAAATTATTTCCTAAGCAGAAAGTATTTCAATAGCCTTATCTGGCAAATCAGATTTGAAATAGTGCAATTTTTCAGTTCTGTCAAAAATCACTTTTCCACAGTACTGGGAAAAAAAGAAGCATTTTCTGGGAAGCTTTAGTGCAGTATCCTTCCCCCCCCCTTTTTTATGCTACAGATCCATTTTTACCCAAGTAACAGCTGAGGGTCACTTCACTCACTTTCCACAGTAAACCTCAAATTTAACCACAGCATTTCTTCCCCCAGACACATACCTTAAAAGAGAAGTTGAGTAAAATGTACTCTACACCTTCTTTTTCTTTTAAGAACTGAAGATCACTATGCAGTGGGCTATCAGGGTCAACCCTGTAAGAGAAGCAGGGGGGAGATCCTGGATGTAGTTAACATTTTCACTACCTGTAAACAGGAATTCTTCTCAAAGACTTCCTTTATGTAATTACAGTTTACAAACTGAAATCTAAGGTGAACTCTAGAAAATTCTTGCTCCTTTTACAAAGTAAACACTTTGCCATGAGGTCAGCCTGAAAGCTTGCTGCAATGCACTACATTCCCAATGCTATCAAGTGTTATTTAAACACAGCACAAAATAAGCTGTTTATTTGAAGAGAGCACTTTTAATTCTCTTCAGTACACTGGAAATCTATGTTCAAAAAAAAAGGGGAAAAAATTAACAGGAGAACTGTAGTCATCTAGTTTTCAGCACACAGTTAGTGAACCCTTTATGGAATATGTAATTGTAGTTCTGCATCAGCTGTTAAAAGTAATTTGCATCAGCAGAAATACTAAATCCAGCAGCTTCTGCTCAGCAGAATTTCAGCAACTGCTTGTTGCAAAATGCTGCTGATGAGCAGCCTGACCATTAATTCAGTCACTACTGGGTCAATCCCACCCAAGCTCTGACACCCCATCAGCTTTTAAGAGAGACTAGTCAAAAAACACCTGCAGGAAGCCCAAAGCACACATTAAAGGGACTGACAGGCTATCAAAGCCAATCCTCTGCTACAGGTGGAATCACAAAGTTATGAGATCCCATTCCAGAATTACTTGGGCAGTTTATCCCCATCCTTCCAGTCTGAAGTTGCTCAGAAGAAAAACCTTCAGTGCTTAGAAACCTCTCGTTTCCAGCCATAGCTTGTCAGTGTGACTTGTTCTAGTTATAGTGCTGCTCCTCACTCCAGTGGGCTCTTTTATCTGACATTTACCCCCTTGGCCAGTCTGCACAGTTTGTTTGTTTTCAGACACTTTTTGCTGTGATGAACAAACACAACACTTATTCTCTTAGTCATTCTGGAAAGCATTTGCTGCATCCAGCCCATTTTCTCTTTCTTGAAGGCAGAAAATGAGGCCTGTTCACAGCACTCCAACAGAGGTTTCCAACCACTGCACAGTGGTTTGAGCACTTTGTTAGAGGTGCTCGACAGAAAACGCCTCCCGTTACATGACACAGATTTTTCTGACGTGTCATTCCTGCCATTTTCAGCTCCAAAACATTCACAAGCCCCTGATTACACTGAGGAGGAAAAAACCTGTGTTCCAGGTGCTGGTGGCCCAGCTGTACAAGTCCCACCCCTAGGACAAAGCAGCAACTCTACAGGCAGGTCACCACTGTGCTGGGACAGCCACGTCCTTGTCCTGATTCACCAGGACAGATCTCAACTGAGGGAAGTTCTTTCATCCACTGCCATCTTTGGCAGCCCCCCAGCATGGTTTGGGGAGGCTCCTCCTTTCTACAGGGTACCTTGTGTGATGGCAGATGGTCTTCCTACCAGGAATAATTTCAATATAACACCTCTAGGATTACAGTTACTGGACTATGGACACAACAAGATGAGTTATGTACTGCTTTTCATTGTGTGTACGAGGAGATGAGAGAAGACAAATTATATATAATTATGTAACTCACATTTGTGTGATATCTAAAAGTTTCAGTCCTATGTCTGTTCAACTGTAGAAATAAAGAACTAATGACACTAAGACAGTTCTGTTCCTTCTTACATCTTGAATGAAACTAAAAATTGCATTTTCTTGACATTAAAAACAACTAAAAATAAAACCATCTAAAAACTCCAGAAAAAAAAACGTTCATCATTTAAGGTTTCATATTTTGGAGCAGTTTTAGAGAATTGAACAGTAATGACAGTTACTGGATTACACCCTGCGTTGGCAGTGCAAAGAGGGTTTGTCTTTTTGCCAGCTCAGTTACTACAGTTCCATATCTACACATTCCTGTATATCAGAATTAGAGCCACTATTTAGTGGCTACAGTTACCATTACTACTTTTACTACTGTAACACACTATTTTATATGCTCTGGTTAGAGATTCTCATTTATCTAAAGTAATAATCTCTGCAGCAATAATAAAACAGATTGTTCAGAATATGAAAAAACTTGAATAACTTACTTGAGAAGCTTAACATGCCATTCATACAAGCTGTCATTTACCAGTTCCACTGAATATATCCCTGTAGAAATATTAATGGGATTAATTATGCACTAAAAGTATTACAAGGTAAAACACAGCAAAACCATTCTTTGCATTTAAGTACAAATACTGTCAGTAGATGTAAGCAATGGGTAAGATACTGTCACTGCAGCACACTCTTCCTCTACTACAAATAGCAGAAGCACTTCTGAGCAACTACAAGGAAAAAAGTCTTTTCGCTTCCATAAAAAAATTAATCAAAATGGTTTTTTGACACCTAACCATTTCCCCTTCAGACTTTCCACAACTACAAGTCCAGCTTGCTTTTTACTCAGTCTATTTTACACCCAGTACAGGACCAACATGCTTTTAAGACAATTAACACACAGTCTGAGTATGCAGCACTGGATTTCACAGGCTCTCATCTGCACTGGCACACCAGGACAGGACACTGGACAGGGTATGGAACAGAAACCCAGAAGATACTGCATGGGATGGAGCACATTCCCAACAGCTGACTGAAGGAGCCAGAAAGGTGCACTGAGGGAACTGCTCTCTGTGGGAGCCAGCTGCTGATTTCCAGTGGTCTGTTTGTTTTAGGGATGTTCCACAATAGTTGTGCATTCCACTCACAGGGAAAGAGGAAAGTTATCTGCTATTTGCTTGTATATTCAAGCTTCCTCTCTGCATAAACTCACAAGCAACCCAGGAAAAAGCCATAAATCTTTACCCATTAGACAAGATTTAGAACATAGTATCAGTCATGTTCTAAAGTCTAATCTCATCCCTCACAGACTATTCATGTATATACACTAAACCATTAGGATTAAAACTTGTTACCTGGCCTAATATTTAACAGCATCTCTGCTGCTGATGTAATTATTTGGAAAACATATGCAAATCAGGAACCTGCCAAGGATTTCTGAAGGCACTACAACCACCACAGTGCAGTCACCACATTCCCTCCAAGGAATGGTATTATCTATTTCTGAGTTTTATTACTCCAGAATAGAGATAATCTTGCAGTCAAAACTTAGAAGCGTTGGTGCTTGGAGTACAGATGACATTTCAAACTGTCCAGACACCCTTATTTCTAAAGCATTTCAAAACTCAGTAAATGAGGTAAAGAACCCGTGCCTGTTTCTCCTTACTGAGTGTACAAGGTAGCACAGCCAAGAGCATTGCTGCAAAGTTTTCTATGTCTAGAACAACAACTCAGGCCTGAACACTCACTCAGCGTCCTCTCCATGTCCCTTTTAATCAGCAGCTGGTTCAGAGACACAACATTTCTGTTCCAGGATGAACTGAAGGAACTATTAAGGCCTTTTTCCAGTTCCCCAGACCCAAGGACACTATTTTCTGACTGACCTTCATGTAAGTGGAAGTCGGGAATTATAAGAATTTCAATTTGTTCTGCTCTGATGTAACAACGAAAGAGTTGACATTCAGAACTCTGCTCATTGTCAACTGCCATCCATGATGAATCTATTCCACTGTTGTATCCAGAATATTTTCTTCCACCTGCATCCAAATGGGAGTAAAGGCTGGAAGAAGCAGCCTCTCAGTATTCCAGCTTTGGCACCAGCATAAGTATAAAATACTTATGTTGGAACAATGGAACGAGTTACAGTGAGGGTCCTGACACTACCCTAAACAACAGATCACAAGAGAACTCCAGTAGCTTGTTCATTCACTAAAGCCTCCAGCCCTACTCCTTTCCATTCCTCCCATCACCCCTGAAGTTCATGGACTGGTCCTTCAGCTCCAAGGAAGGAAAAAAGTTTCTGTCAAGAAGTATTTATCTGATTAACATCAGTTTCTGAGGGGTCCTTCAGGTAGGAAAGGAATCAAGGTAGGTTCCTCTCAAACACACACTTTCCCCGTGCTTAAAGAGGTTTTTTTTTGTTTTATTCCTCTAAGAGGCCATCTGTAGAGGTGATCAAATAAAAACAAGCACATAGAACCATGCAAGCAAAAAATTAAGTAATTAAAAGGGAAGAAAAACAATTCATTCCAAAATAGAGGCATTATTTATGACAGCTTTACTACATCTAGAAGTAACTCCTGTACAGTCTTTGGATAAAAGCAGTGAGTGGACATCACTACATATGAACAACACAGCTGCTAAAGGTATAAAAAGATTTCATTTGATAGCTCTAAATTCTTTGTTCCTCCCCTTCCTTTCCCAATCTCCCAAATTACATTAAGACCCTTGTGAATCTCCAACTTCATATTTGGAACTTGGCAGGACTTGCATTACCTAAACAGGTTAATGAAACTGTCTAATTCACAGCAGAATAAATTTGCTGGAGTGCTTTTTGCTTCTGTTAGCTCATATGAAGATTATTTTTGGTTTCTTTAAGGGCAGTCCCTCACCTAGACTGCCCAGGTATAAGGAACTTTGCTGTTGAGAGCAAGCTTGTCATCTTTTGCCTTAACTCCAACAGTATTATTTCAATTGATAAAGGAACTTGAGTTCTAAAATGGATACTACCCTCAATACACTTCTGTTGAAGACCTCACTGTGTGTTTTAATACTATTTTTTTATAAAACATTTTAACAGAAAATAAAAAATGTAAAGGACTATTGCTACAAATATTATTCCCTTCAGAACTCCCAGTATAGTCCTACTGTCAGTCCTAAAAACATGTAACCTCACACAGACTAAATAAAGTGATTCTTTCCCAACTAAAAATCAGGTTTAGACTTTCTGCCTTGTGTTACAAAAAATGAAATTCCTTTGCAATTATTACCAGAACCTTTAAGTTGCACAATGGTTTCTTTTGTGTGTTTAATTTTGGAAGAAATTAAATTAAGGTAAAAATGGTCCATGGAACAAGTAGTCAGAACAAAAATGACATTAAAAAAAGCCAGTTACCTACCATACCCATGGTGACAGTTATCTCACAAAAGGCAGAACTAGGCTATAAAAGGTTTTGTGCACAGCAAAGAACCCATCCTTAAATTGCTCAAGGTCAAAGGCTAAGTGAAGCCATAAGGAGTGAATGTAGGTAAGTTTTATAACAAACAGTACCATTTACTGGCAAAATTTAGTAAGTGTGTCAGTAGAACAGTGTTTCAAAGCAGGATTACCACCAGCTTTATAGTGCCAGCCTCCACCTGACACTGCTTCATTAACATGCTTTAGAGATGAACATGAGGCACCCAGTTGCAGGCTTCTGACATATTCCCAGGTCACAATCTACAATCAGTTACTACACTCACACTTTGGAACCTCAGCTTTCTGTACAGTTTAGCAAGATTTGCTTTTCCTCATAATTCAGTCTTTTGCAACTAGTTAAGAGCTGTTATTAATCCAAGGCCAAGAAATGGCATTATTAAACAGCCTAAATCCTCACCTCACACTACACCAACTGCAGGGGCTCCTGTACCACCTCATGAGGAAGCTCCACACAACCTTTACAGGCAGGTGGGTTTGGTACAGCCAACCTTAGCTCTGATCACAAAAACAACCCTGAGGAACACAAATGGGCAGGAAAGGATCCCTCATGACTTAATACAGATCTATTTCCAGGCTCTTCCCCAGACCCACTAATCCATTCCTCACCGGATGGCTGGTGATTAGGGCACCCTGGCAAGCACTCAGCTGCAATAAAGCCTAAAAGAAGTAGGCTGTGTTAGATCAACACCAGGTACACTGGGTTACCTACTCAAATTTATACTTTGGACATTTTACCACTGTCTGCAGGTACTTCAGCACATAAAACAATTTACTAGGAGTTAAATGTGACAAATCAAAGCAGGAGCCTATGGGCTCTTCACCTCTGTCCTTATACACAAGATTGAAATGTTGTTGCCAAGGGAGATTTAAGTCCACTAGAAATAAATCTGGGGAGAAGTTCAGAAGAGTAAAAGATGATTAAAGTTTAGATTGACTCTCTAATGGGGCATTTTGGCAGGCCTAAAGGAATAAAACTTGCCCAAAATCTATGTAATTTCTACTTCTTGCATGGTAGCACTCAGACAATTCAATAAGCTGATGCCTTTGCTGAGCTGGTTTAGATACAGGCCCTACAGGGAACAAATGGAACAGGCAACCACCCACCTAAAGATAATCACTGTTCATTGTTCTACCAAATTTAAAATGCAAGCTTGTTTTCTACTGTCATTTGTATAATTGTTCCAAGGAATACATGGAGCTTAGGATCAGATTAACACCACCACAAAATAACAGAAGTAACAGCAGCATAATTAAGGTTAAGTCATACATAATAAGTAAATCTGATGCTGTTGAACACAAATCCCTCTACAGCAAACCCTCCAGGAGAGGTTTAAGTCTCTGCCCTACACACCTTTCAGGTTGTTCTGAAAACTCAAGTCCCACAGGAGTAATCTTGAGTTCTTTGTAGTCATCCAGCCCAAGAGCACTCTCATAATTACACCAATCCTACTGATTCTCATACAAGACTTTATGTAACAAAAAGAAAGAACATTTTACAGGATATGTATACCCTGACTTCTTTTCTCCACAAATGCAGTACTTTATGTAATGAGATTATATCTAATTTATCTATGTATTTTTATATATGTGCACACACAGATATATACACACACACACATATAAAGGACAACAAAACACAGAAGGATTAGCAGAAGTATTTGCCAAGAGAATTCTATTAAAGTGTATTTCAAGAAGGGCAATCTGAGGCATTTTACCTGTTTTATAACTCTGTGATCTATATATATCCCTGAGTTCTTTCATAAGTCGATCTGAAGCCTGAACTGACCCAGAGACTGCACCCTGAAACAAAGAAACAAACAAACAAAAGACTCCAAGTAAGTGCAAAGTCATATTTACAAACAGCTTTATTTACATACAAAGTTACACTAACTAGAAGGTATTAACAATACATTCATTTCTGTATGGGAATTAGTTTTTTTGAAAAGTTAAACATTCTAATGAGCAGATTACTCAAAAGAAACAAGGCACTCCCTCTAAAGCAGTACATTAATATATACTACAATATGGTATAGGTAATACAAACTTTTAAGGTACAACAGGTCTTTTCCTGTAAAGGAGCTAAATCTCTCTGGCCTTTTAATTTCCAAGATGGATCCACAGTACATTTCTAACAGCAAAACATTTTGTTTTCCCTTGTGCTTTTATGCAACGGAGAAGCAAGACCAACCAGTATATTTGGAAAATGTGAACAAAAGCAATATTTATTGGCAATACATGAAAAAAATCAACACCTCCACAGAGGAAGACCAAGGTAAGTAAACCTCAAAATACTTTTTGTGATTTGTCACAGGCCAGAAACATCTTTGTTTTTCTTTTTTTTTTTTTAGAGCTCACTTCTGTATACTCAGCACCTTGAAGTGATAGAAAACCTAGCACCCAGTTTCTGAACCCAGTATTTCAGCCTGAGATACAGTGCTAAAGGGAAAGAAAAATATGGGATAAAAGAAAAAAAAAAAAAAGGAGACCAACTTTAAGTGGTATGCATATAAAATATATGATTGGCTCTAAAATCCCCCAGCTACTGACAAACTAATGAACACAGCAGCTACCCAGTAACTGATGTCTCCTTCCAGCAGCTGCACTGGGTGTGTTCTGTACACATCACCAGTGCTCACATTTCCATGACCCTGGTATTCAATTTTGCCTCAAATCTTCTGGGCTTTAAAGTGAGGACAGAACCTTTTCCTCATATAAAGTTGAAGGGCTTATCTTGAACAACATGATCATCAGAAGTACCTAGATTACTCTCTCCAATTCAATGCCAAAGCTAACAGGATGGATGCTGATACTAAACTTTAGATATTACCTAATTTCTCTGTTATATATTCCATCCAAAATGTCATTTTAGGTTCAAGCTTTTTGAAAAACAGAGATACAAAGTAGCATTACAAGATTTAAAATACAGAAAAGGAATGAGGACTCCAAATGAGGTAAGGTAGGTATCACCCTGAGCCCCAATGCTGTGACACTTGGGCTTTCACCAGCAAACAACCTACAGATACTTTTTGGACAGAATGTCAGAGAAGTATTTTTGGAGGAATATGAAACAGCTGTGACCATTGTCTAATACCTGTACCATCATCCTATTCACCTGAAGTCATCAGTGATGTTTTATATTCTACAAGGTCTTAATTGTAGAACCAAATTATCACTTACTGATATTTAATTCTTATTAACAGTTGCTTGATGCTAAAGCCTCCACATAGTCCTGCCTTCCCTGTGCAGCAGCATCATAGAATATGCTTAGCTGCACACCAGAGTCTGCAGACTATTCTTTTAAGCCTATTCATTTTCATATTCCACTGGATAGAATTATGCAGATTACTGAAATTCCACCAGTTTTTCTTAATGGACCAATATGAAAAATGAACTTTGGAATCAAATATGCAAATAACAGGCAACTCCTTTCATGTGATTCAACAAAAGCTACATAAAGACAGTGCACCAGACCAGTCACTTCTCAGTTTACTGAAGCCCTTCTCTATAGAGCAGTATCAGATGAAGGGATTCCTCTTTCTATAACACAAGTACATGCAATTTTATGGAAAAAGCTTGTTTATATACATTATTAGCATATTACTACTATTTATGCACACTATTTACAGAGAGATGAAAAAGAAGCATTACACAAGTTAACACAACATGTTAATCACCATTCCTTCTACAGTTGTTGTTTGTGAGTGTCAAGGCTGAGACTCAATGTGTTGAGTCTGCAGGAAAACTTCATGGAGAAGTGTCAAGGTTCTGGTTTTCTTCTGTGCAGAGCTGTGCAATATCCTTACCCCTTCTGCAGTATTTCTTACTGAAAGAAGGAGTTTTCTTACATTTTTCACAGAACATCAACCTCTGCATACAGGCAATTTAAAAACAAGCTAGATGGTCAAAACCATCCTGTGGAAAACCAGTTTCCTCACTGCATCTTTATTCCATCAAGTTAAACTACTGAATTTCTACACATAATTTTGGAAGCTCATCTTGGCATATCAAAATGTGATTAACTTCTCTACTGTAGACATTTAAACCCCAAAACTTAACACACCCCCATACCCCTGACTGCCATTATAAATGCTGACAAAATGAAGTGGTATTAAAAATGAAGTTAGTGGTTTAGTTTTAGTGTATGTAAGTAGCCTCAGTAGACCTGGTCCATAATACTGTTTTTCACCCTTTTTTCCTAGGAGCTTCTAGTTGGGCTGCCCACTCTATATAGCAGTTTAGAAGAAAGTACTACTTGCATCATATCATTGCATGTTATAGGGCAGGCAGATCAAGTTTTGACTATAAAAGCACTAAAATTAAAAACTCGTTCAGTAACTCGCTGTATACAAGTTATAATTCCCAAGACTGAATTCAGATATAAATAACAGAGTATCCTTCTGGAAAAATGGGACTTGACACTCCAAGGGAGTTCAAGTTACCATTTCTGCACTTGGGAGATCAAGATTTATGGTTGCAACTGTCTTGGGAACAAGTGATCAATCATGGGATCTGACAGGTATCTGTCACATGGGGCTGATGCCATTTCATCTGAATTAGTTAACAGAGCTGCCAGACAAGACTCAGGTGATTTTTTTTTTCCTATTAAATAATCAAATAGGCACAAAAAGCCTCACTTGATCACCCTCTCCTGTACAAGCATATCTGTGGTTCTCCAGAAGGACGGGCAGGTAAGCTGGAGAAATCCCTGCTGCAGGAGGGAAACATCTTTGTGGACAACATGCCAACTGCTGAGAGCTGCAAGTACCAGAAATACCTGGTGCAGGAATTCCCACAGCCAAGACTGGGGGACAGAAATAGTATTAATGAGATGCAGCACCACAAGCTTGTCCTGTTCTCAAACTCCTCCTTTTCAGGATGTGCCTCTGCCACTGTCAGAAAGGTGACACTTGAGCAGTGCAGCAGCTGGGCCAGCACTTGCCACTGCCCAGCTCTGTCTGCACTGGGCCTCCAGAGACAGGAGGTTTTTCTTTTCCCCTTCCAGTCCTCAAAACACAACCACAGTCTGCCCCCCTCCCCAGGTTACATGAGGTAGGAGGTGCAGTTCATTGCAGTTTTAGATACCAAGACCAGAATTTTTTCTATCTGAAAAGTACTGTCACACATCAAAGTACTACAGGAAACCATCTCACAATACTTTATAGACATTATTATTATTAATATCTGTAATATATTAATATTAAAGATAATTTAGCCACAAGACCAAAAATCACCTGCTAAAACAAAACATGGAAACTTCTCCAAGATAACAAAATAAAAATCTCAAGAGACCCAAAGAGAGCTAAAGAACACGAGATGCTCTATTGTCACAGAACTTTTGCAGTATTTGTGCAGTGTACATTATTCCTGGAAGTTACAGTAGATTCACACTTACTTCAAGGATTAGAATGAAAATAGAAATGACACCTTAGACTTCATAAAATCTGAAGACAAAAGTAGAGACATTTGAGACTTCTAAAGGAAAGTGCATAAACTCCTCAGTATGAAATGGGAAAAGCTAATAACATTATCTAAATAAGAAAGGGATTAATCTCTAAAATGACTATGTGGGGAGAGACCTCTGAAAAGCAAGCAGTAGCAAGTTGTTAAATATTTGATGTTAATGATTCCGGTTCAAAGACCTCTTTTAACTCTAAGCAAGTGGTTCTTTAAAGTTATTACAATGTTAAGAGGAGGATTAATTCTTGCTCCAAGTTACAAACTGTACCACAAGCCAAATTTATTTCCTGATGCCAGCAAGAAGAATGGGATTAGGGATACTGCCAAGGAAGAGAACTCATTTACAAAATTAGTAGATAGACATGCTTAACTTGTATAATACAAACTCCAAAATCTCCTATGACAAAAGTCTTGAGAAGCAGAAAAACATCTTTAACCCGTTAGAAATAAACTATGATGGGGCTGCATGCACTGCTTTCCTAAGGAAAAGCCTTTAGCACATCCATAACTTCAGCCTGTGCTGCAGCAAGGGGGAGAGAAGACAACCCCTGGCTTTGGGCCAAAGAACATGTGAAGGAACTGTCAAGTCTTCTGGCTGCACTGGGCACCAGCCAAAGCCTTCCATCAGCCTTCCCATTCCCTCTTCCAACCAGCGGCACGGAAACGGCTTGGGTTCGTTCTCCTGATCTCTGCTGGGGAAACAGAGTACCCCAAAACAGCTGCTGGTTTGTGTAGGGAACAGACTGTGTTTAGCCACTGCATTTAAGTTTGTGACACTCCTACTGTCCTTGAAGAAACCCACCTGTGAGGGCTGTACAGATTGAAGTTTTGCTGTATCAGGATACTGAGCAAATTTCTGCTCTCTCAGGGCACGGTTAACACCTTCTATTAAACAGAAGTCCCATGTTCTGGCAGCATGAGAGGCCACTGAAGTGCTACTAGGTGAGCTCTTTCCCAGGTCAGTAGCACAGCTATCATCTTCTGTTCCACAGCATTTAAGAGTAAACCCTCACAAGTCCTTCGAGAAATTATTTCAGCAGCGCAGCTATTTCTGGTGACCCACAAAAATACCACAGTTCCTCAGCAGCAGCTGAATACCCTGTTCCTGTACTCAGCTGACCTTGTTTATGCACCAGCATCAACGAGAGTGTCTTGGCATGAGAAGCAGCTATTATGTAAGTTGAGTCTGCTGTTGTCAAACAGAAAACCAGCAGTGTTCATTTCAGCTCCACGAAACGTGGAAGGGGAGAAAAAGCAAAAGGAAAGGCAATATTTGCCAAATTGGAAAGAACAGACAGCAAAAGAAAATCTGCAGTTTTAAGAGGCTTCCTGCACCAAGAATGCTGACACTACAAAAACCTTCTTTCAGTTCTACCAAATTATAGATGATGGTAAAGCAGGTCATGCCTTTCAGGCTGCAAGAGAATTTAGTCTGTTGAATAAATAAGGAGTCTTTACCACTAGATCTGACTTATAAACACAGAAATTCAATAGGCATCTTCTCAAACTGTGAACATTTAAGTTTAAACAAAAGCAATAAATGACTGCTGCATTTATGGTTAGTCAAGTCTCAAAAACAGACTACACAGCAAATGCAGTTTGGTACCTTATGCTTACCTGTTTTTAAGTAATGAAATACTGGTCAGGTTTAGGTGTTGTGGGGTTATTTGGTTGGGGTTTTTTTTTTGGTTGGTTGATTGTTATTTTTCCCCTCAGGGGTCATCATTACTGTGCACTCCCTTCAGACCATCTGATAGGTAACTACTGAATTCACACACATATCAGAGCAGTTCCCTTTAGCCAGTTACCTCACGCTGCCATTTCTGCAGAACATAAAAGTCTCAGGTACTTCTGACAGGTTTGCAGTCAAGTCATATTCAAAGAGCACAGGGACAGCAGCAGAACACTGGTAGCTGAGGAACTCAGAAGCATTTCTGCTTCATTTCCTTTCAAAAGCAGATGGCTACACACTGAAACTCTTTCCCCTGGTAAAGTGTTGGTAACCAAGAGGAAGAACTTTTTCTTCTAAATTAGAAGACTCAGTAATTCATGACAAGAAATAGTCAAGATTCTGCTAACTAAAGGAGCCTTTTCCCTGAATTCCTATGATAACTGGATCTATCAGGGGTGCACCCAATATTAAAAGTGGATTGGCTTGGCTAGTGGCAAGCACTTCCTATATAGTTCTCACTACAAATGAAAAGAGGTTTACAACATCAATTTTCTTGAATCTAATGTAATTCTTTAATGCATTTTAGGCTTTTTAGGAGATATTTGCTGGAAAAATCATCAAGTATAAGAACTAGAACAAAAATCCAGGTGTGTTCCTTACACACCAATCCTAAATCTTATTCCTTTCCTAAACAAATATTTACAGGTCCCTCCCCTGCACCTCACTACTGCTCACATCTTCAACTACTGGCTGAATGAGGAACAGTACAGATTGTGTCTGGACATGATTTACATGTCTGCTCACTTGCCAAATAGCACAGGAAAACCTCTGGGCTCACACAGTGGGAGGCACCAGTTCAGGCACTTTCTTGCTATACAAGTGATTTATAAAAATCTTAAAACCCCTTGGCTGAAACAGAAGTATCAATTTTCCTGCTTTACACATTTTAAGCCTCTATGAAACAGAAGTTTTGATTTCTTTGGGAGCCAGGTTAAATAAAATTAAGGTTGTATGACATCATCGCTCCCTCCTACGTGCACTTCTGAGAAGCAGAAGTGTCTCTGGAACTTGGCACTTGTGACAAAACATTTCTAAACCTCTGGAGAACAAACTTTTTTTACAACTGCCTGCTGGCAAGATCCCTCAAAAAAACTGATAACAAAGCTGCAGAGCTGCTGAAGGCCCCTTGCTTCACACCTGGCAATAAAAAAAAAACAAAACAAACCAAAACCAAACCAGCCCACCACCCTTCAGTAACTTCCATGTGGCACAGATATTACTGAAAAATAAATTCATGCATAAAATGTATTTAAGGCACAAATTCCTGGGTCCCATGATTTCTAATGTAGTTGGTTTTAAACATGGGGTTTTTTTCTACTTTAAGGGCTCAGCAACAGAAGTCATGCTCACAGCCTCTGTGCCTCCTGCTGATTCTGCAAGGAGGATGCTGTTCACAACAAAGGCACCGAGCAAGAGACAGAGGGACAACCAGAGAGATACCTCTGGAAATGACACAAGCAGTTAAAGTCAGCTACAGGTGAATTTACTTGTAGATTCATAGCAGTGGGCTGGATTTGCTGAAAACCATCTCTGTTTTAGAGTCAGAAATATTACACAGAAGTATTGCAAAGTATTCCATTGCAGTTAGGATGGAATCATTAACTCACATTTAAGTGATCTTGCCTTTGATTTTTTCTGATTTTTTCTAAGATTGCAAGGTTCTCTTTTTCAATGCCTTCATCCTCAGACTTCTTCCCATCAACTGGTTCCTCCTCCTTCATATCATAGTGATCCAGATCCTCAATGTCCTACAGGATAGAGGGAAAGTTAATTGTAAATAACTGCACTGTGCTCTTTATTCAATGAAACCCTCTCCAAGAGCACTTGGAATATAGTCACATACTGCACAGCACTACATGTTTGTGATTGTTGGATGCCATTTCTATTTTGTTCTAACTTCATTCTCAGCCAAAACTGGAAGTGTAGGGAGCCCTCACACTACAAACAAAACCCAAATTCACAACACATCTCTGGTCACAGAAACAAGCACAATAAAACCTCTGCATGAAGTCAGGACTGTAGTGCATTAGCCCACTAAAGTAGGTAGAAAACAGGGCTTGAGAATCCAAAAGTACCTGAAGCTGGGGTGGTTCCAAGATGTTTCTAAAAGCAACCTCTCTTTTCAGTTCAAATCCTATCTATTCTACACTTCTGGCACACAGTTATTAACAGATCTGGCAGGGCTGCAGCAGCCCCTAAAGAAAGTTAAATATTAGAAAACTATGTGTACTTTACTCAAGGTGAACATTTCAGCTAAAGATCAGATGTAGGAATTTTGGAATTGGGACACAAAACGCTGTGGTCAAGCATTCTTGATCACACAAGCAACATTTCAGTTCTCAGTTCTAGACTGACATTGAGAAATCCTCTGCTCTGTGCTCTGACATGGGGTCATCCTGTTGCAGAGGAGCTCTGAGCTTCAGGTAACTGCCTGGGAGGTGACTCCAGTGCTAGTTGTGGAGAGGAGGGGAAGGATGGAGCAGCCACCCCAGCAAGCTCTGCTTACACAACTGTCAGGCACACTCCGACATGCAGTGCTCTGCCACACTGGGGCTACTCTTCACACACCACCTGTCTGCATGGCAGGAAAACCTGGCCATAAACCCAAAACCAGGGATGTCCTACAGCATTAGAACCACCTCTCTGGTGCCCTTGACAACACTGTTTCCTTCCACTGCAACAGACTGAGTATTCTTCAAAATGTTCCTGTTTCTCAAAGCAAGGACAGAGCCCCAGGAATTGGCTGCTTTCCCATTCACAACTTGGACTAGTCACAAGTTGAAGATATCACGGCCACACACAAAGCCACCTGACAGCTTATAAATAACAGTAGGCAATTTTTTTTGGTGCAAAGTAACCCAAACAGTCTAGAAGTCTGCAAGCAACAAGAGCCTTGTGTCAGCAGGTGTTCCCACCACCTTTACAGAAACACCAGCTCCAACAAATGTGTTCTGGATCAGACTAAATATGGTGAAAACAAGGTGGCCTCAAATTAATTCCAGAACTTGGTAACATTTAGGTCATTTCTAAAGGGAGACCTTTTATTCAGAGAAAGAGTTGTTTATTCTTACTACACCTTCACTAAAAACCTAAATCTGAAGTACTCAGAACAGTTCTGCTACAGTAATGCTATTTAAAGTGGTTTAGAAAGCACTTGGAGCTATTCTAACAGGTAGCAGAAGTAAGCAAAAAGGGTAGTTCTTACTAAAAAGCTCATTAAAAGGAGCACCACGTTGCCAGACAGTGACAAAAAAAGTTCAGTGCGTCCGTTTGGATGTCCTTCCATTTCCTTCAATGTATCAGAGGTAAAAACTAGCTCACCTGTTTAATGAGTCAGCAAACTGATTTACTCAGCCAGTCTGCTTCAATTTGGGAGACACTTCCAACTGTATCAGAGCCAGTTCACATGCTGCTTGAAATAGGAGTTAACAATGCAAAAACTTACTGCTTTGGCACACAATGTTATGAATTGTTTGACTAAAGCACAAACAGATGTCCAATTCTCTGTATCCAAGTACCTCACAGCTGAGATCTAGGTTTAAGAAGAAAATTTCACTAGTTTTGTGGTTGAAGTGAAAGCTGACATTCAGGTAAACATCCAAATTTTTAAATATCTTTTCTGTTGAACTCTAGGGAGGTTACATTTTACTGTTTGGCTTAATTATTAGCCAACCAATGCAGAGCAAAATGCCAAAATTCTACTAGATTAGGACAATTTCATAAATAGACATACTTCACCCATATCTTCTTCTTCCTCCTCCTCTGATGTAACTTCTTCTGTTGTTCCATTCTGCAATACAACAATAAAGTTTCTGCATAAATTCTGCTCATGTCCCTTCCTTGCAAAAACACGAGTCTACTTTCAAAGTGAAACAGTATATGTGGAAATTACACTTATCAAGGTCTGCAAAGGACTGAAGTTTAAAGTGTAAGATGCACAAAGATGCTTTCCTGCAGTATGGCAGTGAAGAGACTTTTGCATGAAGCAAAGAAACAGAATGTCACAATTAATTCCAATTAAGTTCTAAACAGAAACTTTAAATTCAGATAAGGGATATCCTATGCTGAGACAGTGACATAAGCAGCAAACACAGCGAGTGGGTTACAATTCATGATCTCTTAACCATGAAATCAGATCATGGCTCTGACTAAAATCCATCTCCATGCTATACTCTTAAAAAGAAAAAACCCAACAAACTTTATACCTCAAACATAAAGGCTTCTTTTTCTCACTATCTACAACTTCTGTGTAGCCACTACTATCATCATGTAGCCATTGTCTTCAGATTATTTGAAAACATTCCAAACCAACATACTGAGTTAATTTTTCATGGCTTTCTATTTCAGGATATCACTTCAGGCTCAGGAAGTCTGAGCTGCAGAAATCCTCAGGAGCATTCTAATGTGCTTGTCCTGTGCTTACTTATCCTTTGGAAAAGAAGGAATCACAGAATCAGGGAATCAGCTGGGTTGGAAGGGACCTCAGAGATCATCAAGTCCAACCCTTGATCCAACCCCGCCGTGGTTCCCAGCCCATGGCACTGATGCCACATCCAATATCTTCTTAAAAACCTCCAGGGATGGAGAATCCACCACTTCCCTGGGCAGCCCATTCCAATGTCTGACCACCCTCTCTGTAAAGAAATTCTTTCTAATATCCAACCTAAACCTCCCCTGGCACAGCTCAAGACCGAGTCCTCTTGTCTTGCTGATCCTTGCCTGGGAGGAGAGACCAACCCCCAGCTGGC